CGTTAATTTTCGATCATCTAAGTTATTAAACATATTATTTATAATTTTATATTAAATTATATTTTTTTAAATTAATGAGAAAAATAAATAGAAAATTAAGAGTATTATTAAAAATTCAAATGAATCTGACAGTTTTTTTTTACAAAATCTTTACTGTCAAAATGCAATATACACTATTTTTCTGATATTTAATTAGCTCAAAATTATAGTCTACCAAGGTTCTAAATTTTAGCATGGAGATCAATAATATTTTATTTCAACACAATGTTTTATTTTTATCATGACGTTTAGTAATATTCTTTTATTAAAAAAAAAAAAAAATTGTTTTTTATTAAAAACTTTATTTTATTATGTATTTACCAAAGTAAATTTACTAAATTACTAGTTTATTTTTCCAAAATGATGTTCAGAATTCACATCTTTTTTTTTTTTTTTTTTTTTTTATTTATAAAAATATATTTACAATCTGTAATATTAGTTACAATAAGTAAATTTGAAAAAAAAATATGATACAATGACAGGACAACGTGAAAGAAGAGGGTGTCCAGTAACACTACTTCAACTAGATTTAATTACATAATTATAACTGTTTTGAATTCCTTAAAAAATTTGTTGATTATTTTTTTTTTTAGTTATTGAGAAGGTCGCGAGACCAATTTCGTTTTAATCGACGAGGAGGATTGTTTGGAAGAGTAAGAGAAGAAATATTGGATATCAGTGGATTCGGGTGATTTATAGTGGTAGAGTGGAATTTTTTATAATGAGTGGATGCAAGAACAGGAATCGTAGGAATACTGAGGTCGTGATGGAGTGTACGATTACTTACATACTAAGGCGAGTTAGTTAGGAGACGGAGGTTAATTGATTGAAATTATTGAAATAAATTTAGATTTGAGGTTTTTGTCGATCCCCAAATTTGGATGCCGTAGGTCATTGCAGGACGAATAAGTTGTTTGTATAGGAGGATTTTATTATTAAGAGAAATGTTTGAACGGAGAAGATGTCTTAAGCTATGGAGTTTTAATTTAAGAGATAGTTTTTTAGTTTTGATGTGAGTAGCCCAAGTTAATCGCTTGTCAAGATGAATGCCTAAGTATTTAACAGAGTTTTCTATTGGGATTATATTATTGTTAAGAGTTAATGGAGGACTAACTTTGAGTCCTAAAGTGAATGTAATATGTGATGATTTATTTTCATTTACTTTAATTTTCCACTGATTAAACCAGGTTTCTAGCTCGTTAAGATGCATTTGCAGTTTATTAATGGCTGAATTAATATCTGGGTCGGAAGAAGTTATGCAGGTGTCATCTGCAAAAGTGGCTAAGTTAGTGATGTTTGAATGAGGTATGTCGGCAGTAAATAGATTATAAAGGGTAGGCGCGAGAATGCTACCTTGTGGAACACCAGCTTTTATAGGAAAAGTATTTGAAAGCTCATCATCGCATCGCACTTGGAAAGTACGGTGTGAGAGGAAAGATTTTAAGGTAAGATATAGAGGAGTGGGAAGGAAACGAATTTTGTAGAGCAGGCCTTTGTGCCATACGCGATCAAACGCCTGTGCTACGTCAAGGAATACGGCTGAACAAAAATGTTTTTTTTTTAGAGAAGAGGCAATGTTGTCTACAATTCTGTGTACTTGGTGAAGGGCTGAATGATTATTTCTAAAACCAAATTGGGTATCTGGAATAATTTTTTTTTCGGTTATAATTGGATAGATTCTTTTGATTATGATTTTTTCTAGGATTTTAGAGAAGGAGGGGAGTAGGCTAATTGGTCTATACGATGAAGGGAGATGCGAGGGTTTCCCAGGCTTATGAATTAGAATAATGACCGAGTGTTTCCAAGAAGAGGGGATGTATGATAAACGGAGGATAGAGTTAAAGATGTGTGAGAGGTGAATAATAGCTTTTTTTGGTAATTTTTTAATGATTTGATTTGTTATTAGATCATGGCCGGGGGCTTTGTTGTTGGGAAGATTCTTAATGATATAATGGACTTCGGATGGAGAGGTATGTTTAGTTGGTAATGACATAGGGAGAATTTGGGAAAGAGTGGATTCTACGTGACTAACGTGATCATTGTCAGGCATGTCAGGATGAGGAGTGAATCTCATTTCTAGATCGGTTGCAAATAAGTTTGCCTTATCTAGATTAGATGTGGCTAAGGAGTGGTCAGGATGGCGTAGAGGAGGGATTTTATTTTTTTGTTTAAGGATATTTTTAGTAGCTTTCCATAATGAATTATTGGATAAGTTGAGTGAGTTTATATACTGTTGATATTTTTCTGAATTGTGTTTGCGCAGAATATTTTTTAAGGAAGATGTAAGCATATTGTAATTTCTTTTATCACTGGGCAAGTGTGACCTCTGCCATCTAGAGCGGGCTCGTCTTTTTTCAATTATTAGTTGAGAAATATGAGGGGGTAGGTGATAACTAGAGTTTTGAGTAGAATTAATAGGAATGGAAGAGTCGAGTACTGCTTTTTGAATAATGGAAGTAAGAGATAGGACTGCAGAGTCAATGTGTGAAGGAGTTTTTAAAGGAATGTTAAGGAGAATTTGATTTTCAATAATACTGTGGAATTTTGGCCATATGGTTTTACCAGGCGTAATTGTAGGGTAGGATTTAGTTGTGTAAGAGAGATCATTTAAAGTTAATAAGACTACACATCTAAGTTTTTTTTTATTGGCTTTCCACAATTTAAAATAAAAATTATCCTGCCTATATGCTTAGTTCCTGCTATGCCTCGACCTCGTCTCACTGATTGAAAATTATTTTTTTATAGTATATTATAATATAAAAATAAATAATTTAAATATAAATGTATACATTTTTTTAGGGTAACGGTTTAGAACGGTATAAAAACCGAGTGGCTATGATAACCGGAGCTAAGTCGGGCATAGGTCTTGCTACCACTGTTGCATTGCTCAAGGCCGGTATAATTGTAGTGGGTATAGATATAGAAGAAGGTATTCAACAGGTAACATGCATATTAAAAATATTTTTCAATATTCAAACCATTTTTAAAATAATTTGTTGTGTTGATCTACTCGGTTAGATATAGCTAAGTGGTAGAAAGTTCCACGAAACACAAAATTTTAATTTAACTGTTTTTTTTCCTATATTAAATTCGATAATAATTTATTGTGTGTACATTTTTTAGGCTATAACTAGTGCTTTACCCAGAGAAAACAGCGAATCGTTGGGTTCGTTTTATGCAATAAAATGCGACATAACGGATGAAAAAGAGCTATTGAAGGTGTTCAAATGGATAGAAGACACGCTTGGCGGAATTAGCATAATGATCAATAACGCAGGCGCGATAAGGCGTGCTACACTTTTAGGTAATGCTATACTATTTTTGTAAAGGGTACTTACAGGGGAAAACCCCAAAATGTCAACAAAAAAAGTTTAAAAAATCCAGTACCTACCTGCATTGTTACAATAACGAAATCGTTATTTTGATAGAAGATACTTTTTTGGTTAGCTCCTTGTTATGTTCACTTAAACTAAAAGGAGAAAACTACAGTTTGCTCGAATTAAGTTTCTGGGTTTGCTATTTGATAGTGAAACAACAGTCAATCCGAAATATATTTTCGTTAAATTCTTGATCTGCCTATTAGTATGACTGATTAGGAAAGACAGGCGACGAATCCTAATGGTATTTTAAAAATGTGTCCATGTTCACATTTTCTTAGGAGGCGATTCGGCACAGTATAGATTTGTATGGGAACTTAATGTCCAAGCCCTGTCGGTGTGCACCAGAGAAGCGTTCCAGTCTATGACCAAACATGATAAGCACGACGGTCACATTATTCAAATTAACAGGTAATAACCGAATGGATTTAGATGGATGAAAATAACTTTGCTGTGTAATATTTTTGTGTACCTGCAATTAATATTTAGTATCGCCGGATATTCAATGGTCGCTAAGATGGGTCATAAAATGTATAACGCCTCCAAAGCGGCTGTAACCGTACTAACCGATGGTTTGAGACATGAATTATCATTGATCGGTTCAAAAATCAAAGTCACGGTAAAAAACATTAAAGACTTTCACATTGGACTACACGCTACAAACTTTTAAATATTATATTTCAGGGTATCAGCCCGGGTCTAGTCGACACCAACATATTTTATTTGGAACCAGAACTAAAATTGTTGTATCCAACACAATTCTTTTTAAAAACTCAAACCATTGCCAATGCAGCGATGTTTGTGCTGGATACACCTCCGGATGTTGTTGTATGTGTTGTAGTATACCATTTTTCAGTTATTTAATACTTTTTTGTTTCGATTCAGTTTTGATTTGTATCAATACTATAATATTAAAACAAATAATTTCCCATCAACATATTATATAACATTAATAAATGGTGATTTTCAGATAGCGGAGCTCATCGTTATTGCAGTAGGTATGCCCATACAAAGTCATAACAAACCTAAGCCTCCTTATACATTATAAAAACTTTATAGAATATAATTGGTAACATAATTTACATATTATTATTTCAATTAAGAACTACAGTTATGAATAATTATGGTATATGCAATATAATATTATGTGTATATTATATAAATAATAGTTGTGTATCACCGACTATTATAAATTCAGCCCAAGTCACAGAATGATTAGAAATTGTATATTTTCATTGCGTCGGGTTAGATAATTTAAAATCGCTTTTTTGTGCATTGTACTTTTAAAATGTAAAGTTATTTATACTATGAATGTGTTAATTTATATTAGTTTGTTAGTATTATCTGTAAGCTGTACTATTGCCTTTATGGGCGTTATCAATAAAATAATAACTAAAAAATTAACAATCGGAGCAATCCTACGTGTATTATATAGAAATAAAAAATAAGTCGATACATTTTTTACGGTAGACTAACTGCTAGAAAAACCTCTTTCGCTGGCCAAGTCGACACGAGCCCTTAAGCAATATTCCTCTTTCGGGGTTAGGGCATTTGGATTTTGGACTGTGGGTTTTGATACTATGATTGTTGGATCAATATATTTTACAATTTATTTAATTCTTTATATTGGACTAGGTTAATGTGTACTAGAATTTGTTAGATTATCCGTCAAGACGGTGTTTGTCGACAAATTTCACAGTTAAATCTTCGGCGGCTTCTTCCAGTTCTACTAGCACTAAAGTGTTGAGGCCCCGAACCAATAGTGCACCCGGCACGTACAAAGTGATCTGAGGTCCCACGGCTGGCCAGTATCTACCGACGTTGAAACCGTTGACGAAGGCTACACCCTGTAATGAAAAACCGTGTGTAAGTCAATGAAATTTAATACATTCGACTGCTGTATCAATGCACTTGGCCCATTAGACAGGTAAACTAGAGTATTTCTAAAAAATAATTTCATTTCACTTCTCCTCCTTCCTCTCCATTCGATAGTAGCATATACAGATAAGGAATGCCTAAAATTTCAGACCCCTGCGGAACTCTGAGTACTTCTTCGTACATTGTTTTCTTGCATTTGATTAACGTGGGAAAATGTATCAATTAAATAATTGTATTTTTAAACTTTATCAAAATTTAAATCGTTAACGCAGAAGTGTTATGATACTTCAAAATCGTTTTCATGATAATATTAAAAGACACAAATTGTTTTTGTCGAGTTACAGGTCATTGAAACTAACAAAACTAATAACTTTCTAATACCTGCTTGCAAATTAAACAAATTTTAAGAGAAGGAGTTCAAGTGTCATATATTTTAGTTTCAAGAATATTTGATCAAATTAGACACGTTTTAATGAAAAATTGAAATTTCCCATGTCAGTCAAATGCGATAAAAAATTCACAAAGATGTACTTGGAGATGAGTTGAGGGGTGGAAGATTTTAGGGATTCTTCTGTGAGTGGATTGCTAAAATAGTGAAAAAATAACAGTCATGGGTGTACCTTGGTCCATCCCGAAGGGTCCAAAAACGTATCTAACGGTTTTTCGCGTACACCGTCTTCGGGCACCACGAACACTCCACGGTAGAATGCCGGAGTCCGGACATCCGGTAAGACGTCCATGTCGGTCAACCAAGAAGTGTCATTTAACGGATATCTGGTCATCGACCACGGTCCCAGAGTTTGGTTCCCCAGCGTTACGTCCGCCAAAATTCCCTAAAACACCGTACGATGAAAAATGTATCACTTTGCGACCGATGACGATTCTCATACCTTTCTGTCTTCGATAAATTTCCCGTTGCTGCATCTGCCTTGGTTCTCGACGAGGATGCTCAATTTCTGTTTACTTCCAGTTACCAACAAGTCCATGGTCGTGTTGAAACCAGACCGACTCATTGTTCCCAATTTCGCCTGCGACAAACAATAGTATTTCAACAGCCCATAAAAACAATCCAATAAGAGGACAAAGAAAAAAAAGGCTAGACCTATATGAGCCTTATCTTAAATAAACAGAAAACGGTTTTCTCACGTGGTCTAAGAAAATAATTGCTCGATCTCTGAGAAGATTGATTGTCAACGGCAATCGTGCTGCTGTTCCATTTCCTGGCAAAACGGTTTCGTACAACACTAAACCTTGGTTCATATCTATGTCTTCGAAACTCAATGGCTTTTGGTTGGTCACTGTTGTAAAGAGATTACGGGGAACTTGGTCCAGCAAGCCAGTAACTGGCAGCATATTCACAGTGCCATAGCTGTACTTAAGCGACGGTTTTGGTGTTGGGATGGTATTCTTTGAAAAATTCTGCAAATCACAATGAACAAATATTTTGATTTATCAACAAAAATATATTTTTTTTTATTGGTTGAAGTCAGTTCAATATTTGCGTAACACTTCAGTCAGTAAGATCAAAGTCTGTCCCGTTAAATTATTGTTTTAGACTTTATTTGTGTTTGGTTTCTGGCATGAGTTCTCTGGCGACTTAACTAGGTTATGTAGGATGTAGATTTTTGATTTTTTTTATGGTTCACATGTGTCAGTGGAGGACATTGGTTTTCGCTAACCGCGTTTAGTATGTTAAGTGGTTACAACAATATTATAATTTGCAATAGTTACTGCTTCTCGGAGGACTCGCTGGATTTCAAAGTATTTTTCAGTAGGGTCTCCTGCTTCGTCCAACGGCGACGTGAAGTCATACGTGGTCAGTTGGGGCATGTAAACCGCCGTGTCCAGAGATGAACCACCGACGAAGGTACCTCCGGAAGTCAATCCGAAGTTTGTGCCGCCGTGGAACATAAGGAAGTTAAACGACGCGTTGTAAGCCATAACCCTTTTCATCATTGTGACGATGTCTTGAGCGTTCCGGGGTGGTCTGGGCTGTCCCCAAAACGCTATCCAACCAGTGTAGAATTCGGAATTGATCAACGGTCCTCGCTTCTCCACTTGCCTCATGTACCCAAAACACTCGACCTCTGTGAGAGTACAAATAAAATAACAATTTACAATACCGCCGTTGTGATAGCACACTTATGCTAATACTAGTCTAAGGTAATCTAAGACTTGCCGTCGCTCAGTGGAGAAAAATCCACCGTTGTATACACTTTCGGTATACTACCACACCGTTGATAGTTTATATCGCATTCGTCTGTTGTGTAAAGTATTGCGCGATAACCGATGAAACTTTGTACGGTGTCTCTAAGCCAAGTCGTATACTTTTTGTCGCAAAATCCTAGTTCGTTGTGTCCGTATTCGTTTTCAATCTGGACCAGAAACAGTGGTTTTTTTTTTTTTGTTATAGATTTATTGGTAATTTTGATTTTTTTATAATTTTATAATATAGAAAATCCCACCTGAATCATAATGATGTTACCTCCGTTCTCGTACAAATGTGGAACTAATTTCGGTAATAGAACTGAAAACCATTTTTTAACGTACTTCTTAAAAGCTAAAAACAAAATTAAACGAAAGCTTTTTAAAGTTTTATTATTTTTGTAAAGACTTTGCAATATGTTTATACAACATTTACACAGATTATTTAATTTTTTTTTGCCAATCTCGAGTAAATTAATATTTTACTACAATTTTATAATATTACAACTTTTTTTTTTCAATAATGTAAGATATGAAATACATTTTCATTAAACTATTTAAACACCCAATATAGAAAAAGCGTTTTGTATTACTTGGGTCGCTGGTTCTAACGTTCACTCTTGGTTTTATCTTTAGTAACCAATATGGCAAACCACCCTGTAACAAAATATATTCATCTTTATATTATGGCAATAATTTCTAATGGAAAGTACTAATAACATAGTACGTTATTTTACATCTAGCAATGGTGGTTTATTTTATTTCATTCAACCTGTTTTTATTTCAATACGTACGAAATCTCTTTCAGCTTGAATAAATGGTCCTATTCTTATTAGAGCTAGCATTTCCTCCTCTCGCATCAATTGAATAAAGTATTCAAAATCGGCATTTCCTCTGAAGTTATAAATGCCAGGCTCAGGTTCATGCGTACTCCATTCAATATAACTGGAAAATTATAAAAATGTCATCATTTTCTATATTAAACATTAAAAAAAAAGCGTTTAAAAAGAAATACTCTGCTTTGTAAAATAAATGTTTTAAAGTCATTTATTGGCTAGGAACCGTATTTTTTTCTTTATATAATACTTGCAACATAAACATTTTTATTCAAGAATAAATACTTATTTATAGTTTGAATTAGCTAAAAAAAATGAACTAGTTAATACCATGTTTTTAAAGATCAAACACCATTTATTTACTTATTTGTTTTATTGGTTTTTTTGTCTCTTCTGTTTATTTACTAGTTTAATAGATTTCAGCCATGTGAAATGTTCAACTAAGATTAGTTACAACACATATTAAATATAATTCATGTGTTTCTTTTTAGAAAAGGCGGAAATTGTTTTTGTTTTTTGTCTTACTTTTACTTAATACCAATTACATTGAGTTGGATTAAAAGCATCCAAAATTGTTATTAAAACTCTACAAAAGGTGTTCCCAGAAAACTGTGGTATTTCTCATGGAAACTAGTATTTTTAGGTTTAATCTAAATTATTCATCGGCTTATAAACTGTACAACTTATCAGCCATTTTAGAGAGTAGATAACAAATTCTTAACAATTTGGCTGTTCCATAACCAGTTATGAATAAATAATTTTGCCATATTAACCATATAAACTTGTGTTGTATAAAGCACTTGTACAAAATTATTAAATAAGAACAACAGTTCTAATGAATGCCATTTTTAATAATTGTCAAAATTTAAATATACTAAACACAATGTTTAGATTAATGTTAATTGTTTGTAAAAATTGAATGGTAATATGTCGAATGTGAATAAACGCTATTTATTATATAACAATATTTATTATTTACCAGATAGCGTTAGTGTGGTAATTGTTGGGTGTATAGTACAATTTTGTTGACAATATAATGAGCTAAAATGTAAATGCTTATAGACAAATGTTTTCTTGAGTACTTACAACGATATGGCGTTGAGGCCGGCTGCCTTCATTTTTTGAATTCGATTCCTCCAATCGGCCCTGGGCACTCGGAAGTAATGCATCGAACCGGATACATACTGAAAGGCTTGTCCGTCCTTAAGGAATCGGTTGTTGTCATAATCGATCTCGAAACTAGGCAGACCGTCGGCTGACTATTGGGAAATAAAAAAAAATTATACTATAGATAGACACAGCAAGTAAAGCATACACTCACGGTATGGACAAAGTCGACGGTTAACGAACAGATTGCTGATATCAATATGGCAGAACGCATATTCGCATCGAGTGTAGTATTTTGTTTTTTTTTCACAACCGACTGTGGTCCACCCGAGATTATTGTTATAACGACTTAGGTGTGCATATCGTTAACAGTCGAAACCAGTTTGAAGAACGTGCCTTCGATATTATAATAGTTATACAACATTTTGAACGTTAGCCAAAATTCACTAAGCAGCAACAAGTACAAAAGTAGTACCGTTATTCACTGCAGAGAGAAACCCCCACCAACCCCCAAAAAAACCAGTATAAACTAGACCTGCTCAAATATTTTTAAATAGTGCAGTCAAGGACATTGTTAAATTTTTGAAGAGTACATATGAAATCTACAGATGAAAAAACAATTATTAGCATAATGTAAAATATCATACGAAAACATCAATAAATAATATTGTATAAAATGTAAATATATTTTTCGAGAAACGGACGTCTACATTCAACATTCTTTGTAAATTATATTATCTTAGGTCATTCACAAGCTTTTTAGTTAAAACTAAAAATGTTCACTATAATACTAAATTGATCAGTTATAGTAAAACGATAAAAAAAAAATATATTTGCTTAAATGATTTTGTAATAAGCTTTAGCAATACCTTTAGGAATAAAAAAAAGGAATATTTTAATTTAAACTAGGAATGTAAAAGCATGCTGATGTTTATAGACTTTGTTATAAATTAACGAGTAAAACAAATTGACAAACACATAAAACAATGTTTTAATAGATAGATTTTGATCTTGCTAAAGTGCAAATATTAAACTGACCTCATAAAATATATAATATTAAATAAGATATGAAAAAAAATAAAGGTGTTGTCTTGAAAAACAATTTTTAACTAACTAGTAAACTCTTGAAACTTTATCTGTTTAAAACCTAACAAAAACTAAAAAAAAAGTATATTATTAACTATTAAAAAAGTTTGTTGTACTGAAAAAAGAAAAAGAAATAATTTAAATTTCCACAAAGTTATAATTAATTTTATTAGGTAAAAAAAATGTATGCTAAAATAATGTTAAAATGGAGTACCTATTTTTCAAACTAATGTTTAATGTAGATTTAAATTAAACTTATTAAGTAAATCAAGTAAATGAGTAAACGAGTAAATAAGTCATTGTAAATATTTCCATGGCTTTTATAAAACAGACATGATAAACAATTTACCAACAATATTTTTATTAGCTTATAATTGCATTTTACCGAGTGCCATCGAATTCCCATCACTAATTTGAATAAATGAAAATACCCAAAACAACCGGTTTAAATCTTCTTAGTATGATATTTGTATTCTATATGCAGTATATCATTGAACTGCGAAACGAACAACATCTACAATGGTGAAGTTTTCGGATGAAGTTGACGATATTGAAAACAACGAACGCAAGTAAATATTCCAATTTAAAGTTAACAAAAATAAAATATTTTATTTTTAATGACAACTTTTTTTATATTGAATGGTATTTTCTTTCAGCATTTAAAACCTATTTTTTCGCCTTTTAACGATTATGGAATTTTTTCAAGACTTAAAAATAGTAGCATGTGTTTTTTCTTTGTTAATCCTTATTATGAATGTAATCCCGTTCTTGATTTTTGTGATAGCCCCGTGTGAAATGAAACCAGGGAAACAACATAACTGCATTTAGGGGAGCTCTTCGTCTCGCTCCCCGCAAAACGCTTATACGTCTTAGGTAATAAGTATTTTTGATTATTACAGACCTCTGTTGGACACAGCTAAGTCGAAATATTCTCGGAAGCAGCGTTATATATTTTTAATATTTTTCGTCCTCGTCCACGTCGTCGTCATAGCATACTTCGTCGTCCCGTGGATTGAATCGTCGTCGTTGTTCACCAAAACAGTGATTACAATTATTTTTTTTATTTAAGATAATATTTACAGCCTATACAATATGTTTAGTATCATAAGTAAATGAGTTAATAATAACAATTTCAAAGAAGTTGGCTTGAATGACTCGATGAAAGAGTGACCCGTCGGCAAGCCTCTAGTCGGTTACAATAATTTACAATTTTAAATCCGACCTATGTTTGTTTAACGATTAATACATTTGTTCGATTTAGAAAACGTTGACGCCGTTGTCGAAATTGAGCAGCGTAGCGACGACCAACAACGAATATTATAAAAAATGCGCTCCAAAAGTTACTTGCTTTGTGAGTGCTAAGTACAGAACTTACACCGGATCTTGTAACAATCTGAGACATCCGAACTGGGGTGCTTACCTGACGCCGTTCTATAGGTTTTCTAACGCCGAGTTCAGTGACGGTAATTATTGGACAAAACAAAAACCTTTTTTTTATTTCCATGAACATAACTTATGGCTTGGGGCTATCCAAAATTTGCAGGTTACATTATAGGTTAGGTACAGCGGGTAAGAAGAAGATTACTGATAAGAGATTAGATTAATAAACCAGACTTGGCGATTTGGTAGAATTTAATCCGTCTTATCGCTATTCTCTGATAGTTACAATATTTGAAATTTAATGTGATAAGAGGGGTAGGGGGGACAAGAAAGCGAGGGGAGTGGAAAAAAAGGAGAGATGGGACATCCAACATGTTTTCGTCAAGGGAATAATTGAATCATGGTTATGAAAATGCCCCTCTGATCACTTTTCTTTTGCCTTTCCCTTCTCCTACCAAATCGTATGGTCTTGATTGAATCTTATCATTTATCAATTACCAGCTGTCTCTTGGCAAACGTGACGCGAAAATTTCCACGCAAATTTGGGATTGATCTCCAACCGAAAACGATGAATTCAATCTTTCTCCTAAAGGAATATGTCTTATGACCGGGCGATTCTCCTCATTTCATCTCAATTGCACTTTCACCAGAGATTAATGATAAAAAGGATTGAATCCCTTATCAACTGGACATAACCTAACCTAATCCAACAGGACATAGCGACACGGGTGTTGTCCACGCAATTCTGGATTAACCCCCAGCCATAAGATATATTCATGTCGAAATCACACCCGTGTTATAGAGCTGCTATTGTGTTGATCATTTTTAGTAGCTTTGGATAAGTTATAATATTGGAAATGTTCTCTAGGGAAGAGCGAATTTCGATTGCAAGCGGATGGCAAGCCGTTGCCCAGCGTTAGATTGATCCAACTGAAACTGTTTCACGGCAACGATGTGCGTCATAGCGATCGAGAGAACAATGAACTTTTAGTGCCATGGGGACAATTTTTAGCTCATGACATTTCATATTATCCGGATGATATTCGCAGCAACGAAACACCCGGTATACGAATGTTAATATTATACATATGATTTGTAAATTTTATTATGTATCGTCGGCGACAGACCCATTTGTTGTTGTTCAATTACACTTGAGCCAAATTATATTTAAAAACAATGATATCATTAAAAACTAAATGAACGCCCCTGTTGAATTGGGGCGATTACCTTTGACCATGCTAAGTGAAAATTTTTGTAAAGCCTACACCATTTAACAATAATACTAATAATGCAAATTGTTGTTCGCAGACCTGTTGGATCATTGTTTCGACAAAGACAAATCTACAATTCCTAAAATATGTTCTTACAGTGTACGGGTTCCAGACGACGACCCTTTGGCCTACAAGCAAAAATTAAAAATGTTAAAATACACACGATCGCAGAGCTCGTTCAACAGTAGCTGCCCACTATTGCCGTTCACCTTTGTACGTGGATTAAAGCTATTATATATTATTCATAATATTATGATCATTCCGCACAGTCAATATAAATTGTTATTTTAGCTAGGTAACTTTTTCCTCTAGTTTGATTGGTAAGCTACAATCCTCCATGCTTCTCTATCGCGACTTAATTCCTTTAATTCATGGTACTTATTTTTCTTCTCATCTTTTAGTATCAGCTGTGATATATGTACTCCATTCTTGGTCTACCTCTCCCAATGTAATGCACGTTCTATCAATGAACGTCTTCTAGACCTAACTATTCTGCCTTTATTCTTTTATGCTATGTAGTACTACTTAATTTGTCACACTTTCAGTCCGTGGAATTATAAGCATACTGCGATAATACCACATCATCGGCTTTTTTTTTTTTTACTGTCCATGGTCTCACAGCCATACAATTAGGCTCTGAAAGGCCTTTTTCCCCTGGGTTATTTCACTTACTGTTTCTGATGCACATCGATTGTGTTCTGGTTATTATACTGCCAATGTTGGTGAAGTTTTGAACTTGTCTAATTGGTACTCTGTCTATGTAAATATGCTGATGATTTTTGCTACAAACCATTACTTTGTTTTTTTTTTGTTGTTTAGTTAAACAGACAAACTCATTACATTGACGCTTCTAACGTGTATGCATCCGACCAAGCTATAGCCTACGGACTTCGATCATTGAAAAACGGTAGACTTCTTTCTCGCACACTAAAAGGTGGGGAATATTGTCCCCAATACCCAACGCCTGGATTCACCGAACCGAGCAGAGGAAGATCAAAATATCAATTTTCGACTGGTAACAAACACTCTTCGTTCGAAAATAGACTTTATTGGCGTTCAAACAACATTCAAATTTTATATGAATATTTTTGTTTTTTATAGGTTACTACGAAAGTAATCAAAATATGGCTATTGCCTCTACACAAATTTTGTTTATGAGGTTTCACAACTACTTAGCGGACGAACTACATGCACTCAACCCACTGTGGACGGACGAGATAATTTACCAAGAAGCACGTCGCATCGTAGGAGCAGTCGTCCAGGTTATCAGTTACAAAGATTTTTTGCCTATCATTTTGGGTTAGTAAACCACAACAATAAATTATTATTATAAGATTCTTGAATGCTTGTTGTTTTCTAAAAGGTACACTTCTCTTTTGGCGACAATGTATTATAATATACACAATTTATAAAAGTAAAAATACTCTGACCCATCCTGTTCATTATGTTGTCAATATTTTCAGGCGATTTTTATATGGATCATTTTAGATTAAACACTAAGACAGTTTACGATCCTTCGGTGACCCCGGCAATGAGTCAGGAAATGGTGAGCGGAGCTTTTCGAACACTACACAGCATTATACCCGCCACGTTTAAGTAGATAATATATTATATTTCTGATGCCTATTAATTTATTTTCGAATAACCGCTTTTTAAGTAAAAATAATTTTTAGATTTATGGATCAGAACTATTCGATCGTCAACGAAATCGCTCCTTCAACAACTTTTAACAACCCCGATCCCTTAGTAGGGTACATTGACGAGGTGTTTAGAGGATTTTTGGAAACACCCGGTAGAGCACCGCAGCCTAACTTCAATTCTCTGGTTTGCACGCGAATCAAATAACTGCCACCGGCATTTTATAAGTTCAAAACAATATTCTAGATAACAAACACACTGATTCCGATCAATCCGCATAAGAACCTATCGATGGGTTTCGATTTGATGACATTCGATTTTCAGAGGGGACGAGACAACGGTTTGCCGGGGTATAATAAATTGAGGAAAATTTGTGGATTGTCATTTGCACGAAAGTTCGAAGATTTATCAGACCTCATACCGAATCGAGTGAGTATTACCTGTAACGGGTTTTTATTTTTATGACTACCATAGTCAATGGCAATGATTGCCATTGAATCATTAATCGTTTTCCTTTGGACTAGAGTAAAGTAAAACATTCCATTTCTTCGCTACACCCAAAGACATGGACATGTTTTTCTCTCCCCTACCTCTTCCACGAGAACTCTATATTAGATGTCTAGCCCATCCCTTCGCGTTACCTTTCCCCTTCTCATCTTCTACCCTCAAGTCCGTTTTTCGGTGGAAAAGGACCATGTCTCCTCCGCTACAAATATATCCTCGCTAAAATGATTTCCATGAGATAATCTAGTGTTGTTGCTCACAGGCTATCGAGGCACTGAAGAAACTCTATTCCCACGTGGATGACATCGATTTCATGGTGGGGGCTATGTTGGAAAAACCTCAGAACAACTCGATGGTCGGCCCGACTTCGGCTTGCATCATAGGCGATGCTTTCTACAGGGCCAGGGTGGGAGATCGTTTCTTTTACGACGTCCAAGGGCAACCGGGAAGCTTCTCTGCGGGTAAACTAGAGCAGAGTAAGACTAGATTTTGTACTGACTCAACAAACGTGTGGTGGTTTTTTTTTGTGTTACAGAGCAAATAAAGGTATTAGAAACTATCAATTTAGGCCACGTCTTATGCAGTACATCAAATGTGAACCATATTCAAAAGGAGACGTTCAGATTCGTCGATCCCAAGTAAAATGCGTTTTTTTGTTTTACAAAAATATTCATGTGACGCGTAATTTACAATAATTATAATATTATATTATGTTTTAGGCTGATGGCGAGTATCAAGTACGACTGCGATTCGTATGAAATAAATTTAACGCCGTGGAAAGAATAATGATTCCAACTTTAAGCTTAAAATTACAATTACTTAAGAAATCAAATGCTTATGTTGCACTTTCCCCTAATTATACATTCTTTTTTCATAATTCTTAGGTCTACCTTGTCTACCTTTGACCATATATTTCAATAAGCCAATATAAAACTTTTATTATTTATGTCAAGACAGTTTGTTAAAAAAAAATAATGTAAAAAAACCTATAACCATATAACTAGACAAATACAGAAATGATGATTATAACTATTGCACAGACTTGTACATATTTTTGTTCTTAAAGAAAACGTTAGAAAACATTTGCTTATTATTTACTTGAATTGACTAGAAGACGTCGCTTAAATAAAAAAATCTTTGTATTTTGTAACAATATTGGTTACCTATTAAATCCTTTTATTTTTTTAATAATAATAACGCCCATTCGGGCAAAGAGTGTTCATGAATGATAACAAAATAAAACAATAATTCTCAGAATATTTTGACTACAATTTTATAGTAACAGTTATTTGCCCGTGACCCAGACACAAAAAGCGAAGTTTAGAAATGGTCGGTATCGAATCATCCCCTTAACGAGTATGCTTAGTGCATTTTCGACATTATATCTACATGTTTATATTAAGCATTTGCTTAATAATCTGATATTTGCATATTGTATAAAATAACGCAAATATAATAAAGTTAATAAAATATTTTCTGTTGCCGTCAACCGGTTTAACGCGATGGCTTCCACGTGCTGTGCGATCACTATGGCTGAATAATTTTGATTATATAAGACTTTTTGTAAAAATCTCTGATTACGTTGAAGGGAGAATATTTAAAAAATTAAAAATTATAGTCATTCCCAATCTTAGAGATTATTTATTTTAATAAGCTGCTATCGTTTGAAAGAAAAAGCTGTAGGCTAAACAAAAAAACTAGTCTAATATAATATAATTTTATAATATAGGGGTATGATAACGAGTGGGAAAGATATTGTTTTATTATGTATTGTACATATTATACCGAGTTATCCATTTAACGAGGGACACCGATTTTATTTGGGAAATATTATTTTTAAATTAAGAAAAATTTGCAATGAAAATGTTGTCGTTGTCTTGTCGTTACTATTGATAAAGTAGTACATGCTAAAAAGTAAAAAACAAAGTGTTGATGATATTAAAAAAAATCAACGGAAAACCGTTGAAATATATAATTAAGTCAATTTTATTTTAGAATAATTTATAAAAAAAAAATCGTATATTTTCATGTCAAACGAATACTAATGATTTGTTATTATCAATGGTAAAATTAATAACTAATATAGAATACTATATAATATTATTGAGTGCGCTTTAAGTTTTTTTGAGTAAATAGCTAGTTTTCTTTATCTTGTGAAGAAGTCTAGTAAGTACTTAATCGACCGTAAGTAGGAAATATATCTATATCGCAAGCTAACTTCTATATCGACTTTACACAATTTGGTCAGGATAACATTTTTAAGGTTTGACCACATTTATTACATAGGTACTTGAATATATTTTATTAATTTTTATGTCATTGCAAATCCAGAATGTCATAATGTATATTATAAAATATGCTTTATTAATTTTTTATCGATACAACTTTAATCAAAGTTATGAAAAAAAACCCAAATGTTCCTCTTGAGAAACAAAAAGGTTCTCAGCATAGAACTTTCAGTTAGTGACATTTTAAGATATACGGTGTTTAGAACCTTTTGATGTAAATCGAATAGTATATTTTGTACAATAGACTACTTTTGACGACAAACTTAAAATGTATATTATTGTATCGCTGTTCAAATAATGTAAACAAGGCACCATATGTTTTTCTATTTCATTAATTAACAATTGGGGTTATTTGCGTCTTAGGGTTATCCAACTAATCAGATAATCGGGGTACATAATACTTATAGTTTTTCTGTATCTTCGTAATTAAAAATTCTGCGCATTATTCCCTAACGAACCATTTTAGAAAATGAAACCACTTTAGAAAAAAATTCAATTATAATAAAAATATTCCATTTATATTAAACTAAAGCGAGACGACATTGAAATCGTTAATTTCATAATAAATATAAAATATTAATAATTTACAATGCAATTCAAATGTTTAAATTACAAAATTGTTCTACACACCAACGGGTACAAATTAAACTATGCTTACTCATTTTTATTGCTGTAAATTCATTTGATATTACACCAAATATAAATGTTCATATTAATTTTATTTTAACTGTTGTTGATCGTAATATTACAGAGCAGCTAAAAACAATTAAGAAAATCGGCTTAGGTCATGTGTTAAGTTCATAATCAAGTATCGATCACGTACAAAAAGGTGTTTTCAAGATGGCTGTTATTGTTTAAATAAAACATTGTGATTTAAGTTAATTACTTGCTATTTACAATTGAAACAAGAAATCATAAATAAATGTGATATATCTATTACTATAGTAATACTATTTATATATATATATATTAATTAGGTAAGATTTTCTAAGAGAAGGAACGTATAATAAAAAATAATAAAAATAATTTTGTGTTGCACGATCATTATTTATTACAGTTAAACCATACTAGTAGGTTGTTTGTATTATTTTTAAAACGTTATATTATGTATCTTATTATTATCGTTTAATATTTTTTAAGATAAATAAAAAAAGTTTAAGATTGACAAAATATGAGTTGTCAAATTGGTATTCAAAAATTTGCGCGCTTTCTTAAGCCTGGTAGCGCTTGATCGTACAGTGGGTAATCCCGGCGTATCAACATTATTATCAGTTAACTGTTATCATAAATTCAATTTTCACATTTTCGTTTTTCAAACATTTGAATAGTTTTCAATTTTCATTTAATCAGTGAAAATCTTTTTTATTTTACTAATTGTAATCGTTTTTGTTAAAAAATCCTATTATTCAACTATTATCGAGAACTGCAAAAGCATGACTTCCGTTGCGAAAACACTTTGGCCTTTGAATACGCCAGGAGGACATCATCAAATTCCAGCCATCGGTTGTAAGCTATATTTTGTTGCCCAAATTTTACTTGTACAATTATTACGAAACTGTTTTTAAACAATTATTACGAAATTTTAAAAATTTGTTTTCAGTCGGCACTTACACTATCAGCGATAGGGCTACGATACTTAAAGTTTTAGACGTCGCATTAGGTGCCGGTTATCGTTTGATCGGTAATACAACCTTAAATTAGCTTGATCATAAACCGTCGTCAAATTATTTCGTAATCAATAAATAGGTTTGTTTTTTTATTTTTCAGACACCGCAGCAGTCTATCACAATGAACATTACATCAAAGACGCTCTCAAAGTCTTGTTACCAAAGTATGGCCTGAGCCGAAAAGACATATTTATTACGTCAAAATTAGGTATATTTACACATATCGCTCTTTTAACGTCTCGCCGAATGGAAATAACGCGGAAAGCTATACTAATAAAAATATTAAAAGTAAATAAATACGTTTAGCTTTTAACACGCTGTTTAACAATGGTAATAAGATGTGCCTAGTATATGGTTTTAGTTATATGCATACTGCTATTTGAATTAATTGCTTACATACAATATTTCTCTACAGATCCTCGTGATCACGGAGACGAAAAAACCGTTGGAGCCGCTGTACAAAGAGCTTTGGACAATCTCGGTACTGACTATTTGGATTTGTTTTTAATCCATTGGCCCGGAACTGGCCGCATCAGCGCCAAAAGTCCTGATAATGTCAAGCTTCGTAACTGTACGTGGAAGGCTCTGATGAAAATTCATGACAACGGCAATGGTCCCCTAAAAAACATTGGTGTGTCCAATTACACAACGAAACATATTAAAGAAATACTGGCGGATCCCACCAATATTGTTCCTGCCGTTAATCAGGTATTCAAGTAGTACATTTTAATTGAAAATCTGAAAATAGTTATTACTCTTATTTATTTTTTTATATTGTAATATTTAAAAAAATAGTTTGTTTTAATGATATTATAAATGGTTTTGAATAACTCAAAAATATTTAAATAATAATGCAAGTACGGTTTTTAAATAATTTATATATAGTACATTTTGATTCAAATAATTATTCCTGGTTAATAGTTGAAATTCTAAACGACGACTCGGCACCTTTTTTTCGGATTTTTTCCTTTACCCTTTTTTTTTTGTAAAATAAAAACGGCTGGTCCCGACAAATAATTTATGTATTAAGCTTTACTTTGGTTGTATGATATTTGAAAAATTAACATTAAGTTGAAAAATAACTCATATGAATTATGAATTGCATTTTTACAAAACATATCTTATAGAAAACGTATCTTTAGATTAATGACATCGTCAGTGGTCGGTATTTTTTACTTATAATTCTACAATTCTACAATTGTTGTTTGCGCAAATCATTTTCATCAAACCGGTACGGTCGTCTTGTGATATAATCATCATAATTATTATCTGTTGCAGTCGTATTAGAAAGAAATTGAGAATCTTCTAACATTGCAAATTATTGTGTGTGTATAGGTATATAGTTTTTTTGTTTCTTTAATATCGATTAAAATATTTGTTTTTGACTTGATTTAACTTTCTACAAGAAAGTCTTTTTGACTTTATTTAACTTTCCACAAGAAAGTCATCTCTCTTCTTTGTTATTTTTATTTTTTGTTAACAGTGTCAAAGGTGTTGTTTGCAACTGTTGTTTCTTAATGTTTGCAGATGACTTTAAGTAGTATTATAAGATACGGTCAGTGAGTGACTAGTGTTATGTTGTGTCTTTTTACATGGCTCGTGATCGCATGAGGTTTAAGTATTCCATGGATGAGATTCCGTTAAAGCCTACCACCGGTAAAACGGTTGTAAATCTTGGGAGAGTTACTTTACCTGGTAAATTTTAAAATTCATCCCTACAAATGCAAATTTATTCTAACCCTTTCCTTTTATCTACGAACTCCGATTTAGGATGATGCATGTTGCTAACGACAATCCATTTTCTCTTTTTCATTATTTAGTATGTATTATAATATCGATAGAGATTATATGATGTATTTAAATTATTTTTTTGTAAATCAAATTTTAATTTAGTGACCTTGTATAAAAATGATTACACAAACCTTGGACCTATATTATTGAATAAAATCATTTAAAAAAATATATTATATGTTTTAGGTCGAGTTTCATCCGTATTATCAACAATCAGCCGAATTTCATAAAACGTGCCGCGACGCCAAAATCTTGCTTCAGGCTTACTGTTCTATGGGCGGATCGGCCGGAAAAAACTCACTGCTCAACGACCCGGTCGTCAACATTATTGCACAAAAGCATTCGACCAGTGCCGCTCAAGTGTTGTTACGATGGGGTTTTCAAAGAAAATACGGTATTGCTTTCACGGCTTTATTTATTTATTTTTTAAACAAATTTTCTTGATAAATTATCATTGCTGTTTATTTGTTTTATTTAGCGATCATTCCCAAATCGACAACTCCGGAAAGGATTCGATTGAACATCGACGTCGACTTTGAACTCGACACACAGGATATGGAAAGTATAAACAATATCAAGCACGTGGAAAAATTTGCTTGGCAACCGGAAGACGTCGTTTGAATAAAAACCAATATTGTTCACTTACTAAATCCTTTTAATTATCGTTTTACAAATGTTGTACCTGTCAATTTTTCAATGCCTTTTTTTTACAAACATTTTTTCTAGTAAAATGTTTTATTATTGTGTAAAGCTGGTTAAGTTAAACCGCTAGTTGTTGTTGTAAACGTTTAAAGATGTAATTGTTTTAGAACAGTTTATTGTTTAAGATTTATTTTTAAAAACGAACGTTTACTTTTATTATTAAAACGGTTTAGTTGTTACGAATTTGATCGCAATACAGAAAAACAAATATTATAATAGTATATAATCATTTTGAACGGAATATCTGTTTGTAGCATTATACATTCTACAAGATTTATTACGATTGTACCTAAGATATATATTTTTGTGGAACAAATTTAATGGTGTTACAATAATCAAATTATAGGTGGCTATTATATTATATAATTTACTTAATTAAAATTGTTATAAAACATTAAACTGACTATTCTGAATATTTTCTAGAGTAAGATTAATATTTATGTTAGGTACAAAGTTATACATTTATACAAAGTGGTATTGAAAACGTAAAATTGTTTTTAATTACAAATAGTTATTGCGTTTTATACACAATTTGTTTTTTAAGTCCCAATTAAATACGTCATATTATGTTTAAATATAATCTATCTACATTATTATAAAAGTCAAATACTTTTCACCTTTTTTGTTTTTAAGCAAATAGATTTTGTATAGTAAGTCAAAAAGCCGAGCACAAACTTAGTTAGTTAAAACTAAAAAACAATTTTCATATCATTTTTTAATTTCAATTTATACCAATTTATAATCTTATATTTTTTAATTATTCAGTTTTATTTTAAACACCTAAATAAAAAATTAACAGTTAAATATGACTAATGTAAATAGTTTTTTTTAATTTGTACGAATTGAATAGTACATCAAATTTTTTTTCAATTTTTCATTGGATTGAAATTACAATTTTGTTTATTACCAGTTTTTATTTTAAATAGTATTTTAATTTTTTTTAATGTTATCACCTAAATTTGGATTTTTAATTAAATAACCCACAGGTTGGCCTGCAAATCCAAGGACATCTTTTAATCGAACACCATTTGTCAAATTTAAAACAACTTTGCAAAAAGTATTTTTACATTATGTTTGAAAGTGGGTTGAATGTTTTTAGTAGAGTAGAGTACACACATATTAATAATGTTTTTCATTGTTTTATTATTTTTTATTATTATTATATGTATAAAAACATCATATTTTGTGCATAAAATGTTATTAGTTTTTTGAACAACCGAAAATTCCAGACGGAAAGTTGTTAAGATAAATTAAGTTGAAAAAGTTTATGCTCGACCATCGTATAAAAATTAAGTAAAACAACCTAAAAAAAAACATATATACATGATTATTATTTTTCAAGTTTCAACTGCGACAGGTCAGTATGTTTTAATTTTGCAACAATAGCAGTTTTAAAAGTTTTGCGGGTGGGAACTTGGTGTAAGATAGGGTCATCCCATATACATATTTTTTAGTATGACGCTTGACGATATTTAGATGAAAGTATTATTTTATCGGTATAAAAAATAATATGTTTTTGGTTAAAGTAAGAAAAAGTGCGAGGACAACACGGGTATTGCTATATTTTGCGTTTGCATCTTATATTTTATGTATACATAAGTCCTAACCTTCACGTGAGTGTGTATGTGTATATTAATATACGACCCTTTCAACCTTCTCTTAAATAAGCAATGATTTCTATGGAATAAGTGAAAACCTCAGTTCCAAATTTTAGCATAGGAATCTAATTTGGTTTTACAATCTAGTTTCAACATTTTGGACGTTCTCTGAGAAGTTTTGTGGTATAATAATAATTGAAAATATAAAATTATTTCAATTTTCCATCCGCATTACTCAACCCAACTCCACCCTCGTCCTAAATTTTAAACATCAATAACTTCAAAAGGAATTATTCAAAACTGGTTATCGACCAGTCAAAATGTTCAGCGAATTATTCTTTATTTAAAAAAGTTAAATAAATAGATATGTTCTTATTTTTGAAGTTACAAAAGTCGATAGGGCTGTGGAAAACACCAAAAACAAATTTAAATATTTGGTAATTTTTATAATGTCAAAATATAATCACAAAAATATGTTCATAAAAAAAAAATGTATTTATTTAAAGTTAAAATTAGTTTCTTATCCTTAACGATTCGCCCTGTATGCTTATCGCATTTTCGAAATTGAATATGTATATATTAACCACTCTTTTATATAACCTGGTATTTGCATATTGTATAAAATAACGTTAAGCCGTTCGACCAGTGGTCAACGTGTCTTCTAGTAAGCATCTTCGCACATCAGTTGGGTTGACCGGTTTGCACCGAAACATGGGGAAATACAACGATACCGATTACACTTCAGAAGAAACCGAGTAAGTCCACGAAAAAAATTACATATTTATTTTATAAATGTTTATATGTATTCTATTATAATATGTTTAATCTTGACGTTACTATTGATAGAGTAGTACTTGCTAAAAAATAAAACTGTTGTAATATTAAAAAAATCAACGGGAAACCGCATACTCGTTTAGTTTATAATTAAATCAATTTTATTTTTAAATAATTCTCCCAAAAATAATTTGTATATTTTCATGTCAAATTTAAAATTATACTTTTTTATTATTAAAAAAAATATATCTAACGGTAAATTATCGATAAAATTATAAAGTGCGTTTTAAGTTTTTATTTTTAAGTAAAGCTAGTTTTCTTTATCTTGTAAAGAAGTATAGTAAATAATCGACCGTGAGTTAGTAATGAATATATACATTTTTTTTAAGTATTTTTAAGTAATATTTTATTAATAGAAAATATTTTTATATGAAACTAAAGTGATACGATATTGGAATCCTTATTTTCATAAATAATATACAATTTAATTTACAAAAGCAATTAAAATGTTTAAATTACATCATTGTTATCTATTCTCCAACGTCTACAAATAGATGCCTAGAAAAATTATTATTATTTTTTGTTTCCAAGAACACTCCCTGTACGCAATTATGCAACAGCTACTTACAAAAAATGCCTTATAATAATTTTCCTTATGGGGCCGATTCGAAATGTATGTTGGTGCCTTGACAAAAATGATTATAACGCTATTACGACCTGTGTGTTAAATATCAAATATAATAAAGTTAATAAAATATTTTCTGTTGCCGTCAACCGGTTTATCGCGATGGCCTCCACGTGCTGTGCGATCACTATGGCTGAATAATTTTGATTATATAAGACTTTTTGTAAAAATCTCCAAATACGTTGAAGGGAGAATATTTTAAAAGTTCAAAATTATAGTAATTTCCAATCTTAGAGATTATTTATTTTAATAAGCTGCTATCGTTTGAAAGAAAAAGCTGTAGGCTAAACAAAAAAACTAGTCTAATATAATATAATTTTATAATATAGGGGTATGATAACGAGTGGGAAAGATATTATTTTATTATGTATTGTACATATTATACCGAGTTATCCATTTAACGAGGGACACCGATTTTATTTGGGAAATATTATTATTAATTTAAGAAAAATTTGCAATGAAAATGTTGTCGAATCAATAACCAGTTTTGGGTAAATACTTTTCATGTCATTAAAGTTTAAAATAATTTGTTTCGCTATATACCCTAGACATATTATCATGACCACTGAGTAATACATTTACAATATTTACAACACATCTTTTATTTTGGTACACACCCAAATATACATTCGATAACCAGTTTTGAGCTCAATGATTATTTTATTGTTAAACTGCACAATGGATTACACAAAAATGAATCTCAAAAATCAAAAAGTATAAAATAGTATTTATTTTTGGAAAAAATTAGTGTCTCACCCGGTATAAATATTTCAACTAAATAAATGATATCCAACGAAGGAACTGTACAACAAAAAACATGCAGAGCTTTTCTTAAGCCGAGCACAGATGTTAATATCTTAGAAAGTGCACTAGGTCATAATCGTTAAGCTTAATATGATCAGGTATTAAGTAGGTAAAAAAAAAAGAGAAGTACTTTTAAAACAAAAAAACCCAATCGATGGTTATTTTTAGTTGTCTACTCAATATACACAATTATTACTACCGGCTATCTATGGCATACACAGTACAAAAATGCAATGCTGATTAATTATTCTAAGATAATGTCCAATTTGGTGGCTGTATGCAGATTGCAAGTATTGATGTAAAACTATTAAATAGTATTTATTTATACATTATACCTTATAGTGTTTACCTGGCCTAATCGTCGGGGAAAGAGGGGGGAGGGAATTCGAACATCCTTGAGAAGCAACTCTGGTGAAAAATATTGACTAACTGACATAGTAGTTTTTTACCCTAAAAGTTACAATAAAAAAATAGAGGCGATTCGGGCATGGCCATTTCCCGCCAAAAAAACAATAATCTTAAATTTAAAATAGTCGATGAAATACCTCATAAGAAGTGTTTGCTTTGTATTTGACAATTTAGCTCATAATTACCCGGACAAACAATTCAAAAATCTTGAATATGTTATTGAAATATTTTTGAAAATTCTCCAGGCATTTCGTGCGTGCCTTTAATTTACCTGCCCCCAAATTTGGTTATGGTAAAATTATAATTTTCCCTCTTTTCATAGTACTCGCGGACAAACGGATGATATTATTGTTACATGTGTGGATTTATTTTTAATCATAAAGTAATAATAAATTGATGACAAACGAAGTAACTCGATAACGCTGTTGAGATATTGTCAGAAACACGACAATACATTATAAATCATTATTTTAGTTTACAATAAAGAAAATTGTTTTTATACCGTATGCTTTGTTGTGTATACTAAAACATGTTTGCGATTTCCGAACACCCACTTGATACTCGGAGTAGGGCTTTAATAAATAATTGTAATGAGAAACCTTTTTAAATATATATTATATTGTGCTCAAAACTTTGTCTCGGGTCTTTGGAAAAATATCACTTGTCCCATTTTGTCGAAAAACAGTGTGTCAGCAAAATGTCTAAAACAAAAAAAAAACCGAATGGATGGCTTTGAAAAATAAATAAATAAATCAATCATAGTATAAACTTTGAAAAACCAAAAAAAGATGTGCTAACAAATCTCGAAACCCTAAACAACACTATTTGGTCGTTCCTACTTTCTTACAGTCATAAACCATGATTTACTGTTTTTTAGGAGAACTGGCAATGCTGTAGTCTTTTGTTGATGATAATGTACAATGTTATTAATTTACTAATAATTTAACTAATTTAGTATTTTTCCAGAGCGCTAACAACTTTTGAAACGAATTTAATTCACTTTTTTTAATTAAGAATAACTTTCTCATATTTTCCACCGGTCGATAACCAGTTTTGGATAATTACTTTTAAAGTTATTGTAGTTTAAAATTGAGAACTGCGAGTGCAGTGCAGTAAAGTAATGCGGATAAAACAAAATATACCCACTTATACTTAATAATATACCTACTTTAGTAAGTTTAAAAGTAATTATCCTAAACTGGTTATCAGACAATAGGTTAAAATATTAAGTTTAAACTAAACGTATCTTAGATGGCTAAAAGGAGTAGGTAAAGAAAACTTAATTTCGTTAGCAAATCATAAACTTAACCCAGTATATGTAGATATAATTTTGTTTGTTAGTGTATTCTATAACATTTATTATTATTTTTAAATAATAACAAAAAATATTTATATTGGATAGTGTAAAACTATTTTTTTTTTTGTGGATAATTTAATTGAGTAAAAACTCTAGAATTTACCAACAAATGTAAAAATTTGAATAATTTGAATAATCTCTATTTATTATTATTTTTTGAAAAATTGTATTTATTTTCCTGTAATAATATGAGTGTCTTACGTTAAATGGACCACATTGTATGTTGACCCTTTACAGCCCTGAGTGAGGTAGATACCTGTCGCTGTCAAACAATTTATTCTTAACTATTACATTGTAACAAGCAATAATAAATAATAATACTGCTCTTGATAAAATAATATGTTTGCACGCATTACTTTGAGCGCTATCTAAATTAATGTGTATAGGGCTTACCTATTGGTATATTGTATTGCATATATTATGTAAGTTTAATCAATCATATGTATGTAGAAATCTATAAATTAATATGCTGAACTTTTAGGAGTCTTATCAGAGGAAAAGCTGAACGTACTCGTACAACGAAATGGTATTGTTCGAAAGCAGTGTGGTTGTTGAGCATACTACTAATTGGAGCCATTAGCCTGTTGGTGGCTTTTGTTCATCACGATGCAAAGGAATTCGCAAAGCTCACGGCCAATTTGGGCATGAGCAGTATGAGCATTAGCAACATGGGCATAAGCAACATCGGTTCGATTAAGGTGTTCACCAGACCCTTGAGGATGGTAAGTGTACAACAAATTGTGTTCAATATCAAAATAATAGCAGATTTGATCAATGCCTCTCCTCCACTTAACCATATCACTTCATGCAACATTTATGTCCAGTAAACAGAACCTACAGAATTACAACTATTATAAGACATAATGTGTGTCATATCCTTAATAGACCATCTTGTATACCATAAAAAAAAAAATTCGGTTATTTTTTCGAAAAAGAAACCGGGTTTTCACCGACAATTTGTTTGGCAAATCATCAAATTCTAGACAGTAATTTTTGTCGTTGTGTAATATGTTTGTAGAAAAAAGTGGATTTGGCAAATTCACTGCACATAACGAGTATTGCTCAAAAGAATACTACATTTTTGGACTTATGTGCCCCAAAAGTTCAATGTAACCCCAACGAAAAGTACAGGAGCTACAACGGGTCTTGTAACAATTTTGTAATACCGACTTACGGTGCGTCGGTCACACCGTTCCTACGTTTAATGGATCCCGTTTATGCCGATGGTAAGTATAATGATAGTAATATGTTATTTTCAAAAATATATCATACACAATATACAGGGTGCATTAGTAATAATAGTAGGGTGGTAGTAATAGCAGAGTGTATCATAACTGAAGGTGATTTAAACACTTTTAAATGAACTGAATGAAGAGACATATGTTTGCAATATTGTGTTTTTTTTAGTATTAGAGTGGTCATGAGCCATATTTATATCGGATACCCGTTGTCTGTTTCACTCACAAATAGTCCTCTAGAAGCTTAATATACAGTCAATGTGTAATTTTCCCGTTTTTTTTTATTGAAATCGCATCATTGTAATTTTTATCAAGTAATCATCATAATTTACCCGATAGTGGTATTTTAGTCAAAACTGATGACTTATCTACGTTGTCATTAATTTTGGAAACCACTATGTACATTCAAAACTTGAATTGAAAACCAATTACCATTTTTAAAATTTTAAAAAAATCGGCGTACTCTAATAATGATACACACTGTATAACACCAATTCAAACTTTGTTTCTTTAACGGGCGGGCAAATAGTTACACGAGCGTAAAACTGCTGGATAAAATATAGTTTAAAAGTTTTTTTTTTACTTATTTGAAATATTAGTTATGATGATAATTGTGCTTTGAAACCCTTCTTACCTATGAACTTGGAAAATGATTTACAGTTTCAAATAACAATAATATCTATTTTTCTCTCAGTGAATGGTTTTAAGTAAATGGCAAGAAAAACTTGTATTTATTGTACTATATTCGAGAGGAAGGGGGGGGGGGTTTAACAGGAATTGTAATCCTAAATTAAAAATATTATCTATTTCGGTAGTTGGGATAATATTATAGTACATTTTTTTTCCACGGTGATTTCACACAATTCTTACAGACCAGTACCAGTTAGCACTGTTTCACCACATACCATGACATTAAGTCCCCCACCGTATTATTATCATTATTATGGTTTAAATTATATATCTACTATTGCTGTGTTGTCTCATACAACAAGTCTTGGCCGTTTTCCAAGATTTATGGTAAAATAAAAACCTTTTCAGTGCGATATTAAGAACAAAATATAATAATGAGGAATGTATGGAAAGAATAGTATATTATTATGTCATATTAACAGAACTTTATAAGTCGACAAAAAAGTTTTCTAAGTACAATACTGTTTTCGTTAGACCAGACTTTAGCCATTCAGCTGTTTGAAAATTTAGATATTTGAATAATATGTTTATTGTGATAATAATTTATAACTCAGCTATGAGATAGCGGTTGTACTTAGATGTTGTAAAACCAGTTTGGTTACAAAAATACAGCTTGTATTAAACGTATATTATCTTAATGTTTATTATAAAATTAGAAATTCGAATGATCTTTTGTTCAAAGTACATGCTACATACACAATAATATTAAACTATAGACAAATATACAATATCTAGACAGTTATTTTACATTATATTGGTTATAGTAAAAAAATGGCCTCTTCGTCAAGGAGAAATATATTATGAATCATGAATATGTTTTTATGGCACTCATCCACTATTAATACTAACTGGACACAATTCAAATGTTTCCCCATGTCGAGGAACGATTAAATAATTCGAGTACACGAGTAATTAGTTTTTAAAATTTTTGAAAAAACAATAGTTGTGATAAGAATTTATAATACTTTCAGAAGTAGCCAGTTATGCACTGAAGGCTAAAACTGAACATTTATCTTAAAAATGTCACTGATTATCTGCTGTAACTTAATAATGCAGCAGCATATATTTTTTTTTAGCATAATTACACAACACTTATAGTATTTAGTAAAGTCTATGATGGACTTTGCAATTAGTCCATAATGTCAGTGCAAGATTGAACACCTGCATAATATTATTCATCTTTAGCATGTATAGATAACATTTAGGCTAAAACTGTGAACTATCTGTACTGGTACTACCCGTTTTTATATTTAATTTGTTTTCGTCCCCTTTAATGACACATACTGGCTCAATTTTTGTACAGAAACTTACGTTTATACTTGTAACAGTACATTTCCAAAAAGAATACTTATATCGTTGAGTAAGCATACTCAATACTAGTACCTAATATTTAAGTTTAAAAAAAAACATTTGTCATCTTCCAAAACATTTATAAGGTATCGACCGTGGCACAATTTTTAAATAGTTTTTAGTTATTAATAATTTTTTGTGAAAAAAATGCAATTATTAAAATGTCGATGTAGAAGGGATAGATAGATTAGAATGATAATTATAGAAGTAGAAAACTGAATGTAAAATTAATAACCGTTGTGCCGTGATTGTAATGTACAAATAATACGTTACCTATATGTGTGTGTTTGTTATTTTCAGGGAATTCTGATCATTTCCGTGCCCAAAACGACGGCATTCCTTTGCCGAATCCCAGGCAACTTCAGCTAGAGCTGTTTTTGTACAGGGAAAAAAGAAAAACCGACGACAATAACCAATTTTTAATGCCATTCGCTCAGCTGATGGCGCACGACATTTCGGGCATTCCAAACGACGTACTATATTATCCGAACGGTATGTACAATTGCTATTTGTGATATTCCTTGTCGATTTATAATAGATGCGCTTTTGACTGTAACATGTTTTTTTTCAGGTCAAGTTATCGACTGTTGCTCGGAAAAAGTCAACGCTAAACTATACAGACAGTGCAACGGTACAATTGACATTCCCAAAGATGACCCTGTCTACGGTCCGCATAACATAACGTGCATGGGCACCGTTCGTTCGTTTACTTCTGCAAATTATAGTTGCCCGCTGTTCCCCACGACCTTTGTAAGATATCGTTTTGTTGTAAACTCTGTGAGAGATGCTTCACCTCGCAAGACGTTTGCTTGAATGTTATGATTAAATCATATCCAGTTAAAATAGTATTCCTGTAGACTTTGTGTTTGGCATTGTTGGTTTTCTGATAAATGATTATTATCAATTTTCAGATAAACCATAACACACACTTTATCGATGCTTCCGAAGTGTATGGTTCCAATGAAAAATCAGCGATCGCCTTGAGATCTATGAGAGGCGGTAGACTGAGGTCTGATTTGTGGAAAAACAGTCAAGAATTTTGTCCGATGGCATTGAAAAGACCGATTCAACCGGAGGGCGTAAAGGACATAGGCATCCAGTTTGATACAGGTAAGTGAACGGCGAATCGAACGAACTGGATAGTATTACATTTATATACAGCTATTCATTAAGGATAAGACAGTTGACAGAGCTCTGGAAAAAAAATAAAATCCACTGATCAATGCCCATCTCTGTACCTAAGCCCCCCCCCCCAAAATATGTAAGGTAAATGCCAGCGGACAGCAACTCCATTGAAAGAGGCCAAAAGTATAATTCATCAACATTTTTTGTCTAATCATATATTTTAGTATTGCAAATCGTTAAAGCAATTCTCGTTAAAAAATCAGCACGTTTAGTGATCCCATTTAATTAAAAAAAGTGAAATATTCTAAAAAAAAAACTAGTTATAATTAAAATGAATATAATATCAGTGCCAAAATGAATCTATGCGGCTTAATTCTTAAAACTTTTACTTTAGGATATGTCTTGGGGTACTTTTAAATGGTTTAAGAATCTAATAAAGAATACATTTTATTTGATGATTGTGTAAACCGTTAATATATTTTCTGTTCGACACAGGCGATGTGGCAAACGGTAACCAGAACTTGGGTATCACGATGATACAGAATATCTTCCTGAGGTTCCACAACTTCGTGGCATACAAACTGTCCATGTTAAATCCGTACTGGGAAGACGAAAGGCTGTACCAAGAGTCCCGAAGATTAATAATCGCCGTCATTCAACGTATCGCTTACGAAGAGTTCTTGCCGATCATCATTGGTAAGAGTGTGTCATTCGAATTAACAAGGCTGGGCAAGATGATGATGTTTTTAAACTCTTGTGTAACATTTGTTATCTGAATGAGCTGTTCAAACGTGTATTGTAACGATTTGTATAGTTTGTAAAATGTTTACATTGCTCTCCTGAAATGTACACTTTTTGCAAATATCTTTAACTTATTAACCTGTTATAGCCCAGCCTTGTAAATTAATATTGTGATTTCAACTTTGCACATATTTTATTTTACAGGAAGCGATTACCATTCGAAATACGGGCTAGACGAGGAAAACATATACGACCCGGAAGTCAATCCGTCCACGTCACAGGAACTGTCCTCGGCCGGTTTTCGCGTACTCCACACCATCATACCAGAGGAATTCAAGTACACTAAATTAACTTAGTCTATAACTTCTCTCGCCATGCCACTCATCCACCTAAGCACTCTCATTTCTACTACGCTTTTTATCTATTCTACTTTCCTATCTACTGCCCAACAATCCAAACCATACAACATAGTTGGTCTCACTACACTCTTGTAAAACTTACCTTAAGCCTCTTGCAATTCCTTGTCCAATGAAACATCTGAGGCTTCTCTCCACTTGACCCAACCACACTTAATACTATGTTCAGGTCTTCACCAAAGGCACCGTTCTTTTGTTAAAACAATTCATAATGATTAAAGCTCATAACTTCGCCTTCTACGTCACCGTCATTGCTCTTCTTGTTCTCATCCTCCAAACTAAAACTATATTTATTTTGTTCTACTTCAACTAATCCTTAGACTCTTTCCTTCAAATGTCATTCTCCACTCATCAAGCCTATTGGTAGCTTTTAAATTTCATCTTATTCTCTTTAATCGAAATATATTCCCAAATCTTTATAATATAATGACTCGTCAATTGTATTTCTCTATAGTTTCGACATTCTTGTATGAAATGTAGCTTTGAAATATAGGTACTTACTTGTCTGGCATTTCTCATACTCCATTTAGTCCTAACGCTTTTTTATTTTTCATTGCTAAGGACAATTCTGAGTAATTTTTTCTGTTATTTACCTTAAGGTTAATTAATGAAAATTACACACACGAAGAGCCGATAGTCATCACCGATTGGATGGGAAAGCCGGATCTTCTGCCGATCGGCAATAACTATGATAAACTGTTAAGAGGATTTTTGGAAACTCCCGGTCGAGTTGCACAGCCGTCGTACAACTTTTTTGTAAGCCAAAAAACCGTCTGATCCTGAACGTTTTTGGTTAACTAATCAGTGTGTGCCGTTGAATTGTATTTCTTTTTAGATATCAAATTTCATGTTCAATCTGGCCTATCAACCCAGGTACACCGGAATCGATTTGCTGTCTATCGACATAATGAGAGGTCGCGATGTGGGTCTGCAGCCTTACAACAAGATGAGAGAGATGTGCGGTCTACCACTTGCTTCGGATTTCAAAGACTTGACCGACGTGATGCATTTAAAGGTGTCTTGTGCTTATAGTTAAAAATACCGGCTTATTGGATAACTATAACCCAGTCATATTTAACCAGATATTAGACTATACAATTATTCTATTTTGTACTTGCATAGTTAATTGTTAGCCCGATTTTCATGAATTACATTTTTAAAAATATAGCCCCACTCTTTATGTGTCTAAGCCTTAAGCAAAGTTTTGGATAATTACTTTTAAAGTTATTGAAGTTTAAAATTTAGGACGACAGGAAGGGTGGAGAGCGGTACTTAACAGAACTTTAATAACTTTTAAAGTTATTATTCCTAGCTGATTGTTTTCAGCAAAACATTCTTAGTTTAAAAGTCAAATGTAATATATAAGTTATAATTAAAAAATCTTAAGTTCATATGGGTTTCAACATATCGAGTTCAGTTGTTTTCAGTCTATATTTGCAATTAACACACACACTTTGTTTCAGGACACAAAAAAATTGAAAAAACTTTACCAAACGGTCGACGATGTTGATCTGATGGTGGGATTGTTGTTGGAAGAGCCACGGGACGAAGCGATTTTAGGGCCAACGTCTTCGTGCATAATCGCAGATAACTTTTATCGATGGAAGGCTGGGGATCGTTTCTTTTACGATGTCAAGGGTCAGCCAGGAAGTTTTACCACAGGTCTGTTGTAAATACCATTGTCATAAAAATCCGGATTTACATGAGATGTATATGTCGTGATCGTATACAGGGTGATTCATTATCCGGGTGACACTCATTTTCTGTAAAAATACTTCTAGTATTTTAGTGATTGAGACGTTTTAGCTGTTTTACTCATTTTTATTGCTGTACATTCATTTGATAATACACCAAATATAAATGTTCATATTAATTTTATTTTAACTGTTGTTTATCGTAATATTACAGGGCAGCTAAAAACAATTAAGAAAATCGGCTTAGGTCATGTGTTATGTTCATCATCAAGTATCGATCACGTACAAAAAGATGTTTTCAAGATGGCTGATCACAAGTAACAATAATAATATTATAGTCATAACAATAATATCACTCAGACGTTAATCTTTAACATATTTGATTTCAGTATATTTCGCAGAAGTAAATTCTTGTGCAGCGATGAATACAAGCTGGACCTTTCAGAATGGCTGGAACCTAACAATCGTCACGGTTTATAATGACGGTTACTTATATAGTAAAATATATCAAATTTAAGAAGAAAAAAAATGATTATGTACTTTCGCTTAAACGGTGGAAAATGATATCGGATAAACTCATTAGTAACCGTAATCGATGAAAAAAAAAAATCTGTTATTGTTTAAATAAAACATTGTGATTTAAGTTAATTACTTGCTATTTACAATTGAAACAAGAAATCATAAATAAATGTGATATATCTATTACTATAGTAATACTATTTATATATATATATATATTAATTAGGTAAGATTTTCTAAGAGAAGAAACGTATAATAAAAAATAATAAAAATAATTTTGTGTTGCACGATCATTACTTATTACAGTTAAACCATACTAGTAAGTTATTTGTATTATTTTTAAAACGTTATATTATGTATCTTATTATTATCGTTTAATATTTTGTCAATCTTAAATAAAAATTGTTTAAGATTGACAAAATATGAGTTGTCAAATTGATATTCAAAAATTTGCGCGCTTTCTTAAGCCTGGTAGCGCTTGATCGTACAGTGGGGAATCCCGGCGTATCAACATTATTATCAGTTGACTGTTATCATAAATTCAATTTTCACATTTTCGTTTTTCAAACATTTGAATAGTTTTCAATTTTCATTTAATCAGTGAAAATCTTTTTTATTTTACTAATTGTAATCGTTTTTGTTAAAAAATCCTATTATTCAACTATTATCGAGAACTGCAAAAGCATGACTTCCGTTGCGAAAACACTTTGGCCTTTGAATACGCCAGGAGGGTATCATCAAATATCAGCCATCGGTTGTAAGCTATATTTTGTTGCCCAAATTTTACTAGTACAATTATTACGAAACTGTGTTAAAATTTAAAAAAATTGTTTTTAGTCGGCACTTACACAATCAGCGAGAGGGCTAACGTTTTATTATGTATCTTATTATTATCGTGTAATATTTTTTATAAACTAAAATATTTATTTTATTTAAAAAAAATATAATATTATTGAACAACTTTAATTCAAACGTTTATTTTAAACAGTTACAATTATATTTGATTAAATTATAAAATTATAATTCTTTGGTTGAATTAAAAACTATTTATATACGATTTTTGTTTTTTGTGTTTATGTTCAATTTTGTTTAGATAACTCATCTCCTAAGTCCATGTTCTCTCTTTAAAAGTTTCCTCAATATTAATTAATTATAATTAATTAATGGTAAGCAGCCACAGATACAAGTGGGTCGATAATGCAATGAGTAATTTGAAAATCTGAACACTTTTCTTTCTTTAGTGGGACGTTAGCTGTTTGTAGTTAATTTAATGTTGCAAAGAAAAACCCCTCTAGTTTTATGCAAATCCTTATTTTTTGTAAATTTTGACTGACCACCATTTAATTAACTTGTTAATTATTGTACAGCTTACTAATTCACTTATGTCCAGTCCAGTGTTGGGCAAGTTTTAATAAGCAATCATAATTGTTCGATTATTGTATTCATGTGGTTTATTAAGAAAAAACAATGGAAATAGTAAATTTTTTTAAATGCAATAAGTACAATTATTGTATAAAAGTTTTTTTATAACATATTTTTTTTCTCAAAACCGAGCGTTTAATTATTGCTATTTTTTCATTGAATTTTTGTAGTTTTTCATTATTAGATTTCTCTGCTAAAACCCAAAGTTGTAAGTCATAGGACCAGGCCCGGCAATATACAATATATTGTTTGTAATAAATATTCAGCTCGTTCTTTGTGTTTAATTTTGAGTTGGTTGGTAGATTATATTGTAATAATTTGTTTTTTAATTGCTTTTTAAAAGAGGTGCCCAGGTGAGAGGTGTCTATTGTAAACCTAAATATTTCAAAGAATTAATTTATTTGAATAATATTTCATTATAAAATCACAAACACAATCGTACAGTGTAGAAGTTGTAATAATTATTTCTAAATTTTAATAATTATTTCACAACTTGTAAACTTATTTAACCACAAAAGTGTAGCCTTTAAATTAATTAGTTTTCAAATGAGAAAGATTATCGTCAGTTGTTGTACGTTTATTCGAACAAGTTTATTACCAATTAATATTATTATAGATGTAAAACTTTTTTTCAACTATTTTCATCATAAAGTATACAAATCGGACGATGTTAAAGTGTCTTTATTCATTATTTACTCGTTATTGCGATTTATTTATCTTTGACGACTCAAACGTTTTGTAGGTATTATGTATATTTATACAGAGCCTATAGATGGAACTCAATGTGTATACAAAGCCTTTGAAACCTTTTTGAAGTATTTTAAAACAGATTGAAACTCTTAAAATAATTCCTAGCGCCGAGCATTTTATCTTTCCAAACGGTCCGAAGGTTTAAAATTTCTCGCACGGTATTAATTGGATTTAGTTTCAATGCGTTTCAGCCTCTTCGTACAAAGGAATTTAAATATTTCATTTCTTAAAATATACTAATATGACAAACTTGACAGTGTAACTGTATCTACTCCTTTATTTGTAAACTATACGCACATCAATTGTATTTATTTGAATTGTATCTGATATTTGTCAATTATTTACATATTTTGTTTGTTTATTGTCAAGAATGTGTCTTGTTGCACTAAAACAAGTCAGTTTCTTAGTGAAACCGTTATTTGAACATTTAAAACAAATCTCAACAAACTTATTCGATCAGAGATCAACAAGTGGCCAACTTTCTGAAAATCTCTATTTTTTTTAAAGTGTATGAATTAAAAATTCTGGTTATATCTTATAGCTTACGCGTGAACGTTGGAGTTAACACTAAAAATGTGTTGGTTTTCAGAACAAGAATTGACTAAAAACTTATCATCAGATATTGTACTGGCACAAGAAATCTAATAATAAGGCAAAAATAGTGCAAAAATGTGTCAAAATTTGCAAAACTTTGTGGTAGCAATAATTCAACATGTTTTTTTTTTTAAAAATAGTAGTTTAATTATGACTTTGGCAAAATGAAATGAAATAAGGGATCAAATCTAAAACAAATCGAATAGTTATACTAAATGCATTGGTTCGGTTATTCGACGAAAAACAAATTCATTTATTAATTATTCTAATGCAAACGACGAAGATATTATTTAACATTTTTTTTTTATACCAATAAATTCCACTAAAAAAAATCTCGTTTGATTAATTATTCCATTAAAAAAAATGTTACCGGCTTAAATGCGGCATATTTATAGCAAACAATTTCGTGCACTGCCAACCAGAATAAACCACCGAGTACAACAGGTACCCTCTATCCGGCCATGTATATATATATATACACATTACACACACACATACATTTATATATAATTCAAATATATCCACGGGCTCAAAGATTTAAGTACTTATTATTTTTTAAACAACGCAGCATTAGTGTGGGAATTCTTCGGAAAGGTACCTACTACGTAGGAGGAAAGTAATCTCAGAGGTACGAAAAAAATAAAAAAATACAAAGTCTGTACAAAATAGTGTTATTAATGGGAAAAAAATGTCCTTCCTCTTCTGTGGACATGCGATGGCGCATAATATTTCCAATCGGGTTTTTTTGCCCATCACGTACTACCATCATCAGCAACAGCTCGTTCACGTGCGACACTTTCCTCGAATCGTATTTGGGCAAATCACCGATGAATGAGTTTCAGAAAAACAAAAAAATAATATATTTCAACGATGGCGCAGTCGATAAGGGATGAATTCGAACGCGTGGGACGTCACAAGAGCCCAAATTTATGTTTAGTCTTCGGTTCGTTTTGTTAACATCGTGATTAGGGTCTAATGATTTTTTTTTGGGGACAAACTTTTTGAGATTTTTTAAAGAGAAATTGTTTGCGTCACGCCAAACGCTCGTTACAGGATTGCTCATTACAGTGGGCGGATATTTGGGGGAGGGGGGCGCTATAAAAACCTTCAAAACTTAAAACCAGTGCTACGTTTATTTTTAAAATATCTCACTAAAAAAAAATATATAAATTTAGGTATTTTGAAAAACGCTAATTTTTAGGTTTCTTGTATTCAAAAATCTCCGCCTACGCTTGTTACGCTATGGATATTGGTTAACTCAACTTGTTTTTATAAAATAGTATGTATATTGGTCTGTTTGTTTGCCCCATTTACCCGATTTATTTACAAGATGTGTTTACTTGTTTATTTGATTTATTTACTCGATTTTCCCCATCGTGTTTTGGTGAGATTTTTTGAGCTTAAGTTAGACATTTAAAGTATGATAACGTTTTGTTTTGAATACGTCTAATAAGTGAGTAAACAAAATGTTTAACTACGTTACTCTGTTTACTCTTTTCTAGGCTTGATTTACTCGTTTACTTGATTTGGGTTACTCTGTTATTTAACTCATTTACACGAGCTATTTATTAGATGAGTTTACTCGATTTTTTTACTTTTATACTCAATTATTTTACCAGATTAGGTTACTCGTGTGATTGGTTTGTTAACATAATTATTATATTACTTGTTTACTTTTAATTTACTTAACGAGTAAACAAAGTGAGGGGAAGCTTTGTTTACTCGTTTATTTCATTTAATTACTCAATTCACGTAGTCGTTTACTAGATTTGTTTACTCAATTTTATAATTTTTACTCGATTTATTCAATAGTTTACTAGATTTATTTACTCTGTTACTCATTTATTTACTCGTTTAATTCGCTCGTCCCTCAATAAGGAGAAACATATTTTTGTATCATGTGGAATGCTCATTGCAATCAATTCTTATTATAAGTGGGTAGATGCCATAAAACATGTTTTTCCTCGAAGACTAGAAAATTGTTTTTTTGTTTTATTCAACTATTTAAAAGCTGTTCATTACAAAATACACGGATATGAACATTTTATAAAAATTTGTTTTTTTTTTGTATCAAAAATTGTAAAATGTTATTGTAATAAGCGGGTTTGTTTTAATATAATCATCGAAAATTAACCGAGAATGGATTTCCGAAAATTTTAATTATAAACTAGAGTTAATAAGTTTTTAACTACAGTGCTGCCATCTTAAATATGTTGTAAAATAATTTAACACAATATTATTGATTGGTGTCATGAACGACACATGCAATACTCCGAATACAAATTACAGGTGCATGATGATAAGTTGATTCATTGGCCTTCAAACTCTAATTATTTTAGGAAAATACAATATTAATCTACCCTAACCTCGTATGTTCGATAAAATAATTAAATTACCTTGTGTGTTTGTTTTTGAATGTATTTTCCTTAAGGTAAACGCCACACGTGCCAATTTCACGTATATAAATTGAGCGAAAGAGTAGAAAAAACAAGTAAACAAGTACACGATTAAAAATTTAGTAAAAAACAGATTACTCGAGTAAACAAAAAAAACAAAGCACACCGAATAAACGGGTAAAAATATCAAAGTATTAAGTTAACAAATTAAGTAAACGACTAAACAAATAAAGAGAGAAAAATAGTAAATATATTGATTAAAAGAGTAGATAAAACGTCAAACGAGTAATAGAGTAAAGATATCAAGTAAATAAATCGATAAAAGCATAAAACAAATAAGGACAAAACAATGTTTTAATGAGACATATTTTGATCTTGCTGAATTTTTAACCAACCCTCAGCAGTTGAACATTTTAGTGTTAAAATTCGACTAACACGATATTATTTATTAATAATAAATTAATACTCACAAAAAAAAAATATACATACATAAAATAAATGCTATACTCATAACGTTAAAAAATAAAATACTTAATCAGTGGTGAGAATCAAAATGGTTTCAAAACATTTTAAGGTAGAAAAAATTGAGTATCATATTTTAAATATTTGTTCTTTAGAGCGATGGTGGTTATTTTCCTTAGCTTAAAATATTTATTTACTATGAAAAATTGCTTACAGCCGACCCCCTAAAATTATTAACTAGAACGTGCAATGAATTGCAATTATTATTATTAGTCATGTTTAGAGTTTCTGACACATTTTTGTCATCTGCTGGATGTCAACCAGGCTTTAAGCCACTACTCAAGCTGCCATTCATCTAATTATTATTCATGAATTAATACTCGATTTCGTGTAAATGTTTACCGTGTACTTGAAGATTACATTTTTCGGTTTTTCATCAATACACAAGTGTACAGAAGAGGTCAGCGAGTAGTTGAGTTTTGCCACCGAAGCAAGAGAACATCTTAAATGTAACCGAAAAACCATTTGAATTAACTCGAGGAACACTTCTGAGCACTTAAGATATTGTTACCCAAATCCTGATTGTTTTAAGTGGAAAATTAATAAAATGAACAGAGTTCACCGAACACAGCCTAAAGGAATACACTGGAAACTATAATAATATGTATTGTGGTGTAATGTATAGTGTTGTCAATGCCCGCAAATGGGAGGTTTTGTTGATGTCCGAAAAAAAATTTTTTTTTCCAGCTGATGCTTTTTCTCACATTTAAAACAAACACACTAAAATAGTTAGTTGGTTTATGAAACATTGTAAACGCAGGTGCTGCTCTTGGAACGCAATATATTTTCAAAACGTTTTCAACATGTCATTTTGAGCTAAATCAATAATTCGCATACTAACTACATAGAAATAACATAGTAATTATTAATTTTGTTAAAAAAAAAAAGAAAAAAATACAAGAGTAAGACTTAATTTAAACACATACATAAAAAAAATTTAAGGATAGCTACAAAAAAGTGACAATTATTAGTAAATACATGAGTAGTACAATATTTCTTATTTTGTACAATGTTATAAATCTTACAGTATTATAAACGGTTCAATATATATATATATATATATATATATATATAAAAGAGTTATATAATATAATATTTTTATGAGTTGGTAATTATTTTTGTATTTACACTTAAAATAAATATGGTATAAAAAAAAAAAATATTGGCATTTTGTCATGTTTGTAATAATGGGGTAGCATATTATTACTAAAATTTGATTATACTATTTTTTTTGAATCCGAACGGCGGTGTTGTTTCGTCCGGATGACAACTCTAACAAGCTCGTGTGGTTTTTGTTGCATAAAACAGTATCGACTTAACTAGAATATTTGTCGTTCAGACCTTGAAGGCTTTTCGCTGTAATCGAATCCACAGTGTCAGACTGATCGCACTCGATAATAAAGTCATTGCTACCATAAACGAATAAGTGAAGTAGAACTTCCTTGACGATAGACACAAAGTCCTGTCTCCTGTAACACGACAAAAAAAACTTATTGCTTTCGTTTAGTATCGACTTCACTTAAAAGTACATAGTTTATTTATACAAATATCATTATTTTGTGTACAATCATCATAATAATTAATCGACATGATAATATAATTTTTTTTTGGGTGGGGGTCAACCTGGAAAAATTGCGATATGCTTATAAAAAACAAATAATAATAAACGATACAATTAACTTTTTCATTCTTTTTCTCTTTTATTTGATGTATTTACTCGTATACTCGATTTTTTTTACTTGTTTGGTTTACTCTTACCGGTTTTATTTACTCGTTTGCTCGATTTGATCACACTATTTATAAACTTGTTTACTCGTTTTATTTACTCACTTGTAAAACCGATTTATTAATGAATTTTTGTACAAGATTTATTTACTCGTTTACAATATTTGTTTGCTCATTTACTCAATTAATTTATTGGATTACGTAATAACTCGATTTATTTTATCGTCTAAAAAATTAATTTACTCGTTTACTCGATTTGTTTACTAAATTGATTTACTCGTTTGCTCGATTTGTACACGCTATTTATATAATATACTCGTTTACTCGTTTTATTTACTCGATTTGGAATCTTTATTTATTTGCTCAATTTTTGTACAAGAATTGTTTTCTCATTTACTCAACTAATTTATTGGATTACGTATTTACTCGATTTGGAAACGTTATTTATTTACTCATTTTGTTTACAAGATTCATTTACTCGTGTACTCAATTTATTAACTAGATTGCTTTAAACGCTTACTTGAGTAAATTAAATCGTCTACACGATGTACCTATTTACTAATTTACTCTATCGATTTGTTAACACTACATTTATTTACTCGAACCAATAAAACTTAGAACAAGTAGTTGATTAACGGTGGTTGATGGTGTGTCAACATTACAGATGCTCGATGCAATTTCTTAAGCCACACTCTAGACAAGAAGAATTTTTTTTTTCATTTTCTGGTCACACCGACATGAGATTATTAAAGTTTGTTTACATTTTTTTAGAGTGCACTATCAGGTTTTATTTAACCTACTATGCTAGAGGCCTCGTTGTCTTTATACTTAGGCGGTGCAGCTATAATACACGCATTGTTTCGAACGGATTTCTCGACTCATAAATTATATCGCGTTGAACGGACGGGAAGATAAAAACATTTTTTTTTCGGCTGGTGAATTACCGCTTGCCATTTGCACGATTCGAGTTATTTATACGAGGAAAAAATCGGTGACGAGGATATTAAAAATGTGTACAGTATGTAGATTAGCTTTTACAGAGGTGTGCACTGTTTCCTTTTCGCGGTATACAGGGTGTTGATAAAAACAACAGCACTTCCTGCGACGCTCTGTATTTGTTTACCATATTTTCCAAGCCACGTACAATGCGCTATTTATACTATTGACTAATTAGCGTGGGATTGATTTAAACCTTCCAGACGGCTGCGATCGAAAGGGGTTTACGTTTTAGTTAATAATAATGTTTAACTCTGTTAACGCAAAGGTTCCGCTCTCGAGTTTCCCGAGCGTAACAATGAATTATTATTACTATCGTCGGAGATTACTAGATATGAGAAACCTGAATACATATATATATATATATGCATATGTATAAGCAGATATAAACTTGAAACCGTGTACTTATTGTAACTTAAGATGTTATTATCGGCGTGTGTATGTGTGTGTGTGCAGTGCTTTTATCGAACATATGGGCAAAGTCGATATAAGCTTTTTTCATCATCGACGTGGATCTCTTCGACGTGTAAAATGATGCACTGCACGTCGGGCCGAGAACCGTGCTTTTGTTAAGTAACAAAACCCCTTTGGAGATAACAATATACGGGTTGTATTTTATAATACTATAAAATTATTAATTATTTGTCTTTTTTGTTTTCAGAACTCTACCAACTTTTGAAACTTAAACGAGGTAACGTATAAGTACCTCAAAAAAAAAAAAATAAAATATTGCAATTGTTTGAAGAGAAAATTAATTTTGTATCCAAAACGAATCACCCTGTATAGCGTAAGGCGGTGGAATGGTTACTACTTAATCTTATATATGTAGATTACTTGCAGTGGAAAAAAAAACTTTTCGACGTTCATAATATTTTACATGATATTCAAATAAAACAGATACCTGGTGGTGAACAAAATATGATGATTTGTTGTGGGGACCAACAAATTTAATATATTTCTCCATCCCCTTAGAAGGGGCGGACTCTTTTTTTTTATGTCGCTTTTTAAGTTGTAGTTTTAGACCCGAAATTATGGCTAATAAAGTCCAAGCTTTCCAAACTATTCGTCTAAGACTCTTAAGTGATGCTCTACAGTCACAAAACATGACAAATCCCATTAAGTTAAATTCTGAGGGTCCGTTACTGAACACCCCCCCCCCCTTTAGGTACCATCCCAATATGTTCCAACATTTAAGTCGCGCAGGCAATCTGGAGTTTTCCAAAAACAGTCCGACTTGGTCGGTAAGTATTATTAAGCTGAGATCTGATGTCAACCAACATGATAAATCACACACACACGACCAGGTGTTAAACTGACCCATTATTGTTATTGTAGCATACAACACTAACGGTTCCAGCGCTTAATTAACAGCCGAAAATACTTAATTTAATTAAGTGATTTCGTTTAATCCGTCAAGTTCACAGTCGATTGACAATGCGATATGTCATTTGTTTTTCCTCTCAAACATGTCTATCAACACGAAGACAGTGTGAAACGTAACACTTATTGTGATTCATCATTGGAGTTTATGAAAATTAATGCGAGGTGAGGAAGTATTGTAATTGAAATCTGTTGATTACATACAATTATGTAGGATAATAATTATTGTTGTATGAATGTGACTCGTGGTCCAATTGTTCAATGTGAAATCGAGAGTCGTTGGATTTGTGTACTTGTGTGCAAAATCGTGTGTGCAATTACAGCGCGTGACAATGTACTGTGACTATAATATGATGGTAATTACCTGAAATGAACCCTTGCAACGGATCCAGGAGGTCCGTGCCGGCGGTCTGGTTGAAACCGTTGTCGGTCAACAGGTCGTCGGGGGAATAAACGTGCACTCGACCCACCAACATCATGGAATCCGCATCTCCACCGGCATTGTCGTACAGCGCATTAATCGTACCGTTGGCCGGCACCACGTCGCGCCTTCTACGGCGACCGGGATCTGTTTTCTAAAACACAATAAAAACAACAAAAATCTAAGACCGACATCTAAGAACAACTTGTGTGTGTGTTTGTGTGTTATGCTCGTGACCCGTGTGACACGAGCGCTGGTGAAAGCCACCCCACGCCCACGGCGGTCGTGAGCACATCACTTGGTCTTGGCTGAACGTTTTGGTGGAAATTAATAAAAAAAAAAACATTTCCGATATGGGATTTGATACTATAACATTATCCATAACGGAACAGGAAGAACAACTCGTTTTGTTTAAACGTTGAAATTTGCACTTATTTTGTACTTAGGGTAAATCTATATGAGTAGCAAGACACTCGTTTTCTATAAATATGTACATCTTCAACCCTTCTACGAAAAAAAAGGGCTTGACTTCAAACGGGAACAAGAGTTCTTAACTCCATAAATATGTGGACATTTTTAAGTGAAAGTGTTAGCGTTTGAATTGATAATATTCATCAAGCGTGTCCGTTTGCTATGACTTTGCAAAGATATTACATTTTCCATTATGAATGTCGTTTGTCTTAGATTTTTCCAAAATTCATTAAAATTCATAATTATGTTAGTACTGACCGATATTAAATGATGATAAACAAGGTGTTCTTATCTACCTATTCAAATACAATGGCGGTAACAGTGTTACTTAATACTATTGTTACTGCGCTACTGTTGTAAAAACCGAACGAATATTAAATCTTTACAGGGTCTTAGCAAACGAACGATTGATGAAAATTAAAACGCTAACATTTTTCTAAAATGTTTTGTCTACATATTTATGAAATTGAAAACATATGTTCACATTTGAAAAACAGAAGTCTATTTTACGTATAAAGGATAAACAAGTTTTTGAGTATTGGAAAAAACAGATAATATGTGTCCGAAAAATATTTTCATAATATTGTTAGTTACAACACATGCGGCATAACAACAACAGACTATTATAGATAAAAAAATTAAACCTATAGTATCCTCCCTAATACTTAAAAATATAATTTTAAGCTCGATTTTTGTATTTCTATTATCTACAGAAGTATCGAAACGTTATTTTTTGAAAGCGATTTTATAATTTTCAGTTATTCTGCGCCTGTGGCCTCCCCACTCAAATATGTAATATATAATTTAAATTATAATGGAGATAATATCATCCAAGAAAGTTTTTCGCCAAGAACTGAAGTACAATTATTTTATTGGATTTTTGAACTTAGAAATTGTCTCAGATATGATAGCACTTGTTTTAGTTTTTTTTTTTAAACATAAAAGAGATCTGATTCCTGCTATAGAAGGTGATACATATTTTACCAGAAGCATAAATGAATTAAAAAAAAATTTTCTATCAAATTGTTTTATACAACCTGATTTTATAATTTCATGCAACTCATTATTTGGTTCTACGAATAATCATATTCAAGAATCTAAAAGTATTTAAAAATAAACAAGATTTTTTTTTAAATCCATACTTCAAACAAATTTTAGTCAAATATTCAATTACACAAACAAACTGTCGCAAACACAATCAGGTTTTCTATACAAATTAGAAATAAATCTAATTTTAGCATGCGTTTTATAACGTTATTCGAACAGTTAAACAATATATTATTAAGAATGAATTTGCGAAAACAAATTTAAATAATTGGAATAATACTGCAGTGCTTTTGATGTTTGACACTAAAGAACGGTTGACATGACTAATGTTTCTTTTTGACGCAAACAATCTACATCTAAATAAATCGTTATGTTTTATGTAAATTTTGGCTCAAACGGTATATTATGCTCAATAGCAGTTATTAATATTGTTACGGGTTGTTATTTGCCGTGTGTTTCCCGGGACCGGGATAATCAACAGCGAACGCTGCTAGACGATAAAGTTTGCATTAATTTCCTACGCGACCATTGTGAAACGACATGCAAATATAATCAAAGACATTGAACAACACGGCTAAACCGTGAAATATAATTAGATTGAACGCGTTCACAACCTTTATGGCGTAAAACCCAAAATGCAATGACTACATTGTACAGGACGATTGATGCATTCGTATATATTTTTCAACGGTGTAACCTCATCCGTTATGCGATAAAACCCTCCCCGTGAACATAAGATTTCTAAATGGTAACGTGTAGTTTAATGAACTATTTTAAAAACGAGGAACTTTTCACCACAAATAATTATTTAAGAGGCGTCTAATAAATGGCGTACTTGATTGGGGTCTGCGCAAGGCTGACAGTTGACTTTGCACAGTTCTACGTTGCATTCGATCAACAGGTCCATGACGTCCGGGAACTTGAAAGCCTGTAGAAAAAAAAAACAAGGGTTATTGCTTGGGTTTCGCGATGAAAAACGGGATCGCTCACTTGGAAATACGCGTAGGCTATTAGCGAACCGGTGGCTGGATTGGTGGTCGTCTGGAAGCTGCCGAATAGCTTGGGTTTGGCCACGCACCCTTGGTTGTCGGTCAGCTGCAGCTGGTTGCCAGACTCAGGGACGTTGTCGCGGGCCACGCACTCTCTTACCAGCACGTTGAAACCCGGATCTCCGTCTACGGTCACGACCAGAGTCATCGTTTCTCCTATTTTCACCAAGCCGTTGGCGACCGGAGCGAACGGACCTTTGCCGGCCTGAGAAAACACAAGATAGCGGCCGTTACGCACACACAATGAGCCAACGGGTTCTCGACATGAATATCATGTTTTTGGGCTGGTGGTCTGTCTGGAAGGTTAGCTTAGGTCAGGGAGAGTTTGGGGGTGTCTGTTATCGCTGATTTATTGAAAAGTAAATTAAAGGTAGGAGCAAACAGAAAACCGTCCAATCACAAGACATATTCATTGATTCAATATCTTTGCTTCAAAGGAAAGGCTAATTTAAATATGTTTAGCGTTATCGTGAAAATATAGTGTACTTGAATGTCGAGTCTAGCCGTGGCAGTGTCCCCGCTAAACGTCACCACTTCCTGGTTGAGCATACCGATGTTCAGGGCTATCGACAGAGCTTTGTTCAAATTGCCTTCCCACAAACATCTTACGGTACGGATCACGTCCCACACCTAAACGTTGAAAGAAACAGCGACCGGTTTAAGTCAATAAAACATGTATGTAGGATAATATTATTGGTCTAAGAGCGTTCGTTACTTCTTGTATTCCCGGTTCGTTCTGCACCACCAAAACGTTCTCCAAGTACGCCTGTTTGCCAGAAGAGAATTCGTCGACAAAGTGCGTTCCGCAAGAGTTCAACATCACTTTGAACGTGTACTTCGTTTGTGCCGAGTTGGCGTTCACGTACCTGCATTCCGGATTGTTGTAAAAGCCCTAAAAAAAAAAATACAATTATATAGTACCCATAAGTGGATTCTTACAGAAACAATAATTTGTTGCCTCGGGTCCGACAATACCGTGTGTAATATTCCTAAAAAAAATCAAAAACTATGACTCGACACAAGTTATGACTATTACATCACGTGTTTCCATCTGGGCCTAAGGAACACTTTGATTTTAAAGTAAACAGACGAGCGGTGCTGTATACAAGAACGGCGACCGATTTCATGTGGGATTCCCGCCGTCAACAGAGGTACCCTAGCCATAGTTTACCATCCACCCGCCCATAAACTATGGCGAGGGTACCTCAGTTGGCGGCGGGAATCCCGCATAAAATCTGTTGCCGTTCTTGTGTATAGCACCGTTTATCTGTATATTATTCAATGTTTGTATGAACATAATTTTTACTAAGGAAACTAATTCTGAATCTTCTTCTTCCTCTCCTTTGCTTTCGTCTCAAGGGTAAACCTCCAATGCTAATATCAATATAATATTTTAACATCATACTTTTGAATAGATCACGCCGTCGTAGGGTCTGTTGAACTCCACGTCGATGGTCATCATGTCCTTTGTGCACTGGACGTTCATGTCGTGGATGTGAGGCGGATGAACGACGTCGTTCAGATTCGATTGCAACGAGTCGGCATTGGCTTCAAACGGCGGGTTGGTCACTAGGAATTCCGACGGTTCGTTCGTGAAGGTTGTTGTGGTTTGTTGCGAGAAAACAGCCGGCGCTTGCAAGTCCGAAGCAGTGTCTACGATGACCGGTGGTGCAGTGCCTTCGGGCGGTGCATCGGTCGCTACGGATTGGAAGAACTGACCGACCGCCTCGGTGGACGGGGTAGGTTCGGTAACAGCAGTCGTTTGCTGGCCTATAGGGAATTCCGGCTGTGGCGGCGGTTGAGGAGGCAGATAGCCTCGGAAATCCTGCAAAGGTTGAGGTGCCACGAAAGGCCGGGGTCGTTGTGGCTCCGGGTTTTGACGAGCTACAACAATACAGGGTGAGATTCATTAAGGACAGATTACCCATTTCCTGTTAAAATAACTGCAAATTCGTAGCTTTCATATTTTTCGGACACAATTCCAATGCTCATCATCGGTGAGTCATCAACTTAACATAATAGAATCCCTGCCAGAGATTAACAACATTTGTGATTTATTAAACTGGGAACAGGGTTAATCAGTAACCATCATGGTAGAATGGTGTAATCCTTAGTCAGCAATGTAATACCGTGGAATGGTTACAAATTAACAAAGTATTACACTAACACTATCAAATAGGTGTGGCAATAGAGGTTAGACGACTTAAAAAAGAAACCGCAATTGAATTATAAAATGTTACTAAATTTAACTCTATCAGGCTATTCCGTGTAATGATTTCATCAATAAAACGACATATTTTATTTGATTATCAATTGATTCTTTGTTTGAAATGTATTATTTTAATAGTTTCTCGGTTAATGATATATTGATTGATTTTATACCTACTTCACCTTTTACCAAATTAAATATTATGCAATATATTTGTGTTTATATTTGTTTTAAGTATGGACTTTCCCGTTTAACACAACCAAGTCGGGTCGATCGTAGATCATTATTCTTTAACGATTTTTGTTTTCTAAACTAATGTCAACATTTTATCATAATATATTGATTTATAGCATGTTGTATGCACTACAATAGGACCGTCCGGGTATGGTAAAATGAACTGCAAGTAGAATGTCGACATTACATTGTACGATTGTGTAGGATGGAAGAACAATCGTTGTGAACTTAGGTAGATCGTTAGTTCGGCTGTGACTGATGTGTAATGTTAATGATTACAGGCCCGCAGTAACCCGACCTTAGGGTCACTATATGATAATAATATACTATTTCCTTTGCCAGCGAACTGGCGAGCTTACCCTGTCTTTGGTTTTGCTGGTATCTGGACTGCAGCCACATGAGTATGTGGTCGACCGTTTGATCCATCGAGTTGGGTGCTATCTGGGAAACTTTAGTGTGGAGTTCTATAAAAAAAAAGAAACGTAAGAAAACGTGAGATAATAATTTTTTTTTACTTTAGGTTTGTATACATTTTTGTAAATTATTATGAAAACGTATTTTCAAAGAGAAAACGAGTGTGTCTGACGTTAAATCGATCACACCTAATGAATGGTTTCAAAAGTCTTGTATTATCTTCTGGGACATGAAGACCCCCCTCGTGTCTTACCTCTAGCTTTGCGTATGTCTTCGGACTTGACGAACAGCGCCCGGTCGTGTTGCGCTCCCGGCACCTGCAAAAGTAAACAATAAGCGATCGAATTTTGTTATTTTTTTACTTTTATTTGAAAGACAGATGGACATGGCCGGAACAAAAAAGGTAGGTACATCAGGTTTAGAAGTAGACAGAGAGAGAGAGAGAGAGACATCTTACCGCGCTGAACGGTTGAACGACGACGGCGATTAACAAGCTCGCCACCAACAAATGACGGGTCATCGTGCTCGTGATCGATCTGTGTAACAACAAAAAAGGAAGAACAATAATAAATTAATCGTACTCGTGTGCTCGAGCACGCTTATGTCTATATGTGTCTGTGTGTATACTTAGAGAAATTTCCGAACAATAGGTCGATCGCTGGAGGCCTAACATTCGCGTAACTCGCCTTTTTTTTAATTTATTTTTTATTCAAACACTATGATAGATTGTTCGTCGTAACACCTTTAGCCCCGGTGCTATATTGTTTCCGATTGCCATAGCATAATATTATGCACATATCGTTGTATACTATGCACGACAATCTCACAATTAACATACCTACACGGTATGCAAAGATAGACGAACGCCGGTTATGTAAAATATTTAACGTGCATAGGATCATTAAGATATTCAGAGGGTGATCCGTTAAGGGGTTAATGTATATCCATTAAATAGATTTCCAAAGTGGCGTTAAGCTAATAAATTATGTCTACAAAATGTTGCTGAGTACTTAAAATTCACGCGAGATCCACCTATATTATGTTGATGAAAAAAATGTAATATCTCTCATTTGATGAATCGCCCTGTACAAAATATATTTATTCGAAAAACGCGATGACGGCGATGATGGTAATAATACAGCAATAACGTCGGTTGTATAATAAATAGAGGTAACCATAATAATATAGTAACATGTGTACAGGAAGGAAACAAATTATTGTAAGACTCAAAACGAAAGAGAACGCGATAAGACGTCGCATCCGATGAATAATAATTATAGTGATTATTTATTAGAAAAAAAAACGAAAATAATATGTTAACCGTTTTCCAAAATGTTTGATTTTATTTTGCACAGTGCACGAAGAGAACGTCTAAGTAGTACACTAATTTATAGTACACTCCATGTGGTCTGTAGGCGTTAACAACGTCGATTAAAACCGTTAATTCGTGAGTTACCAAACGGAAACATTATCAGGAAATGGCGTTTTGTTTGCACAGTTCTTATATAGACACAATATTAAATGGAGAAGCGTTTCACCGATTTCTCAAACGTCTGTGGTCGCCAAAAAGGAAATAATCATACTTGCCCATCAAAATAAAATTTGATTTCCTACACAGTTGTCAAGTAGGTACATTATGACACACAATTCAGCGAGGACTAAATACAGGATGATTCATTACGGATTAAGGCCACTCGTTTCCATGATGTAAAACAATTGCAATTTTGTAGTTTCTCTTTATGGAGACACTTTAGTTTGCGTTTTGTTTTTTACAATGTTAGACGATACTCAAACTTTTATATTTTTTTAAATTCTCCAGAGCTCTGTCAACTTGTCAAACTCAAATGGTGCCGTATAATTATATTTAATGGACTTTTTTTTAATTATGAAAAATTTTCTGATAAAGTTGACTCATCCAGTTTTGGATATTTATGTTTAAACACTTTGATAACTTGATAACTATCCGATACTGGTTATCGACCAGTCAATGTTTTCAGCAAATTATTGTTAATTTCAAAAGGCAATGAAGTGTATGTGTTATCATTTAAGTTTCAAAAGTTCATTTGGCTCTGTTAATTACTTAAAAATGATTGATACTTTATAATAACATAAACAAACGTTTGTTCATGGAGATCAAATACAAAATTACAATAACAAGACTATGTAGACTAGTTAACCGTTTTAAAACACTATTAGTAAGAACTAACGCTAATATTGTCATTAAAAAGTACTAATTATTTAAGTAAAACAATTTTTAATTATACCATTTTAATGTTTTATTTTGTCAAAACCGGACTAATTGTTATAAGCTATTGTATTGTGTGGGCACATTGTCGACCATCAGAGAGCGCAAAATGTAATGAAATTGCTGACATATTATTAAAATGTCAAGCCTCGCGGTGCAATAAAATAATATTTAGAATAGCTTTGGGTAAACGCTTCTCGTTAACGTCACGTGGAAACATACCGGATAGAGTTGCGGCGAAAATTACATTGCTTTAGTGATCGCTGCCAGTTTCGGTTGACAGTGCAGAATAGGCACGCCAAGCATTATTCTTGTATGCTTAATTTGTTTGCTCAAAATATTATGTAGGTATATTGTGTAATGATATTTGAACGACTAAGATTCACAAACGGGAAATTCCAGCAAATTAGCCGACTTTCGTTTAATTGAATTACCGGCACACTTGATTTTTTAACCGCACTTTCCTCTAAAGTGGTATATTCACTTTGAATAAGGATAATAATTTTGCTTTTTTTATTTAATCCGTTTACCGGGAACTTCCGCCGAAACCGGGCTATGTCAATATGGTATCAGCGGATTTTTTATTGTTTTTTTTTAAACTTTCCTGCCACAATATTATGTTTATTCGTTTACCTCGACCGGCGGACAGACCCAAATATCCCGGGCAGATTAACAACAGCTATCCGACGGACCTTTTTGTATACAGAGTGATGGGATAAGGATGAGACACTACGAGGGCTTAGGACCGAAAAAGTTGTGTGAATATGTAATTTTTTGGTAGAGCTAATTTAAGTGCATTCGAATATACTTTTTTAGCCTATCTTTAATATTAATAAAGAACTTGGCAAATTAAATAATATTGATAAAACCAAACTTGGAATTAAATCGTTCTAGGAAGAGAACTTTTTCTTCATTAGTAATACCGACCTAACCTACAAAATAATGTAATATGTTGATCCTAGTCCTCATAAAAGACACTGAAATCTTTTATTCAATAACACCTCCTAATTTTATTTTTATTTTTTAATACACATAGAACTTTTTGCTTCTGATAAAATAGTTTTTGACTTAATTAGAACCTTTTTGTCAAAAAGAGGAAATCGATTATTTAAAGTTCTATCGATAATGTTATTTTAAAGTTTTATAGAACTTTTTTGCACTGCATAACTTCTTTGATTCTTAAGGTATGAACTTTCTTACTAGATAGAATAAAGCGCTTTACAATTCATAGCCTAAAGAGCGAAAAAAGTGAATTTATTAAGAACTCACATAGAACCTTTTCGATCCAAGCCCGCAACTATTTCACTGTTAAAACTTTGTAGATTTTTTTTTGAAGACATCTAAAGTGTGGTTTTACAATATTAAACAAATATTCAAATTTATAGATTATCTCATCACCTTTTCCATGCTGGTGGCATCTTTAGAATATTTCCCTGTAGTAAAAAACTACCTATCCACACTGGTGTGGAATAGACGGAGGAGTGAGTCTAGAAACAAGAAGGTATAACATACTGTTGAACTTTTTAAGCAGAGTAGCTGTCGAATGAAAAAAGACAAGATATGTATGTGTTTCTTAGGAAAACGATATTGTATTCGATGTAATAAAAAATATGAGTTAAGAGCTTCCGCTATTTACTTGACGGCAGCACATTGTCGTTATAAACGGTTTCTATACTGAACCTTGTTCTTTGAGTCAGTCGAGCGTGAAGAGGGAAAATATGAATGGAAACACTAAAGCAATGTACACGGGCGTGCTGGCGGGTCGCTATCGGAGAGAACAGGTTACATTATAAAATAATATTCTATAAATACATAGTAGTACAGGTAAAAAAACCTCTCTATTTTGCAGCGTTTTTACTAGGGTGATCTAAATTTCAACTTTTTCCTATTTTTTTTTTTTTTGTATCTGATACACTGTCAATTTTTTTATCATCTTAAAAAACGTGAGTATGTCAACTTAAACTGAATTAAACGATGAAAGAACGTGTCGCAAAGCCTTCGTACACTCTTCGTTTGCTTTTTTAAGAAAATTAAAAATATTGATAAAAATTTTTTTTGATATGCTGAAATCTAAATAAAAACTTGGACATATTATTCGCTGATTTCGTGGTTTAAACAATAAATAATGTGGTAAGATTAAATTCGAAAAACAAACCCTAGTGAGAATTTAGATTAACATATCAAGTTTTTAAAAGAAATATTTTACATCTGTGATAAAAATATCACATTTTTATATAAAATTAAGTTGGTATAATTGTACTTAAGAGGTATCTCGCTAAAAATATATACAATACATCTACAATCTCCTTGAGAATCATGTGTTATCGACTCTCTTTGATTTTAATTTTAAATTATGGTGGGAAATTGAATTTACCATCGGGGGGTGCACCTTCCATGCAGCCAAGTAATGAAAACGTTCATACAATAGAATAATAATTTATAATTAAAAAATAAAAGGTTTCTATGCCGTTTTTATTATTGTATTATATAATTTTTATGTTTTATGAAATATATTTTTTACATGATAAAAAAGTGAACTTAATTGCACGAAAGGTCATCAGTGATCCAATTGGCATGGACCAAATTTTTGGCAGGATTTTATAAACATTTGCAACAAAACAAAAATTCTGTTTTTCCTGAAATCCTGGTAAAATTTTACATTAAAACGATTTTGTTTTATGGAAAAAAATCCACAATTTCACGCATTTAATGGTCGAAGGGAGAAATTGCAACGAGTGAAATGCATATGTAAAACATCACGGGACATGCTGGATGCTGTATTGTGTAATGTGAATGTAATTTTTTTTATCACAAGTAAAAAATCTTTAAATCATAAGACGGTAGACGTTCCCGAGCTGTGTGCGATACGATCCGCCGCCTTCGGTCGTGATTGTTGTTCATTCATTAAATTAATTTTTGTTTGCAATCGTTTTGTGTGTGTGTGTGTGTATTTCATATTATCTCTTTGGGGAAATATCCGTGCTAATCTCACTGTATATTCCGGATAAATGCCCAAAGCCTGCCCAGGTCGCCTCGGTTAATTCGACAAACGTGCACAACGTCACCCGACCTACACTCGTCCTCGACCGAAAACCGTAAATAACACTGTTGGTACATCGTTAAAAGTTTACGTGCACTTGATTTTTTACGGTCAACGGGCATACGATAAATGAATTTTTTACCCGCATTTTATTTTACTTGGATTTTTTTGATCATAATAGGCGTAATGGAATGGCCGAGATAGACCACTTCGACCGTCCCACCCACAGAGTTGTGCATCGTTCGAACAAA